TGCAATGCACAGGGTGCGCCAAATGCGGAATTTATGCACACTCGTATAAATGTGTAATAAAATTTTATTACCTACAATGGATACAGGGTGTATAGCAAATGATGACAACTTGATTCTTAGAAAAACTTGCAAGTATTTTGATGTGCTGTATTTAAAATGTAGTACAATATAAATAGTTATTATTAGTTTTACAATAGAGACCTTTATTGGTCCCTTTTAATTGACTTGAGGTTATTTATTTGAAAATGTAGTTAGAAAATCTTAATTCAAAATTATGTTCAGAAAACACAATCAATGATCCCATCACTCCATAACCCTTCTCTTCTATCAATTCGTCAAAAATTTGCTTGAAAAAAATTCGACCTAATGCTTAACTAGCTAGATTTATAAATAAAGCAAATATTTAAGAACGTCTTAGTCAAACCGAACCATTAAATAATGACTTATAATGTGAATTTCACGTGTGAAGCCGAGGAAGTCATTGCCAAGTCATTTAGCGCTGCTGTTCGGTAAATTTGAAATTAAACGCTATCAAAATACTTTATAAATATCGTTGGACAATTTTCGTATAATATACGTAAGCTATGTTATTTTAAAATTACATCTTATAATATTTACTAATATAATAATAATAAATAGGTGATCTATGTGAGCTCGCTCCACGTTATACAATTATAACAAGAACTACGTTCCAAATATCCGTTAGTCTTCCCTAACTATTTTTTTTAATTCGGCTTGTATCATTTCTGCAGTGATTAAGTCGGATCCAAGTGATTTGCTGAACTTCAGACAGACCAGAGTTGCTTCTTCCAAAGTCTACGGAGGTTTTGTATTAAAGTCGAGAAGCCATGGTACTAGAAATTAACTTATACGAGTAGCGTGTCGAGTAGATGTCGACCTTTTCAAAGGTCCACGTCACGTCAAACTTTACTCTTCTGAAGTCATAACAAACTAGCCATCTTCAGGTTCTTTTTGTTGTTCTGAAATTTTGTTGCACATAAATACATATAGTGTTCCTAATGCCTTCGAATTACACTTTAATATAAAAAATATGAACAATATTGCAGTCCACTTAAGTAAAGTTAATCCAACTAAACTCTATGCAGACAGCGAACAAATTTATGTAGTGCCTACTTGTAGTAAATTACTATAATTTAATCTAATTTACATAAACTGTTTCACCTTAGTGTAACCTCAATTTTCGCGAACATTTATCAAGCACATTTGTTTTAGAATTAAATAACGACAAGCTATTACGTTAAGCACCGTATAATGGTTTTACAAAATGTGTCACTAATAAAATATTTGATTTTAAAAGTTATAAAAATATAGCTTTCGCTCACAACTTTGACCGGCTATAGTCTATTTTCTTTTTCCGAGAACATATAATATACCTATGTGTATACCTATATAGAAGAATATTGATTTTGTTGATGAAGCGTACAGAGTTAATAAATTAGCAAACTTATGTACTTACTTTGTCATTTGGTTATACATATATGACTTTCAGCCCGAATTGCGGGTCCAGCAGGCCTGTAAGAGTTTGACACTCCCAATCGTTATTGGACGATTTTGCCAGTTAAAAAGTAACATTTACTTTGAAAAAATAGCCGTGGTTGAATTGAAAAACTCCTACTTTTTTGGAGCTGGTTAAAAAATAGGGATCTCGTCTTCGCATTTCCGATTTCAAAATTAATTATTACTGAAATTTCAAAATAGTTACAATAAAAGCCATAATAATCACACGCCTAGTATTCAGAGTCGCCCAATTATGTACCCATCCACACATTGAGTAGCAGTCTACATTCGTAGCATCCGCCTACGCCGTAGCTGTAGGTATTATTTTTTATAAATTACTAGCAGCCTACCCCCGCTTCGCACGGGTCCTACTATCTCGCTAATAACGAAAGACCCCAATTTTCCCTTTTCCCCAATTTTCCCCTCTACTTTTCTAAAATTTTATCTCATAAGAACCTTCTCCCGACAATAACACACATAACAAAAAAAGAATCAGTAGAATTGGTCCAGGCGTTGTTGAGTTATGCGCTTACCAACATATTTTGCGTTTCATTTTTATATATATAGATTATATACGTCTAATAAACAAATACCTAAACAAAAACTTAACAAACAATATATTTGTAAATTACTTATTCAAGTAAAGAATCAATTGTTTTGCCTCGCAATAATTAATCAAGAAAGAAATATCAGTCAAAAAATTCATAAGTATAATTATGATTGGTCATTGGTTATGTAAATAGTTAGCCGTAAAATGTAGTTCATTTGTACATATAATACGAGTACATAATTATGAACATTGGTAAAAGAGTCATCTATTACAAAAAGTTCAACTTTTGTAAGCTAATAGAACAACTAACCTAGTTTGTCAGCGCCATCTATGAATAAGTTGAAGTATACTTATTTATTCATTTCTCTGTAACGATACTAGATGCCGCTGTTTGTAGTAAACAGTGGAGCACGACCAAACTTGTTGGATAGGTTATGACTAGGTATGAAGAATGCCGCATTGTTATGTACTCGAATTACCTAACATAGGAACTGTAAACTAAATTGTACCTATCTCTTTCTTACTTACCTAAAAAATATTTTATGACTGTGATAGAGATATTGCGATGGATTTGAATAACAATCTAGATTTTTTGTTTATTTGTTTTTGACTTTACAACATTTTACTTTGTAACAAAAATATGCAACGAGAATTGATCCTAGAAAAAAGAGGTACGTTCTTGAAATACTTTTACCAAAGCAAATAACCCAGAGACCTCTTGTTAGACTACAATAACAACCACTTACCGAACAAGTTAGTTTATAATAACAGCCTAGTAGAAACTTCTTGATATATGTGCAACATAATGACAGGAGTAACTTAGTAACATATTTTATAAATCTTATTAAAAAGTATAACGTGACACGCCTATATGTCGTGCTAACCATAGCTTAGCAGGTTTTCCTGCCTCTTAAACTTAATATGCCCTGCCTATTCAGATTACACATTAAAAAGTCATAAACGACTGGCGATTTATGAACTTTGTTTATGAAAATTTTAATCCGTGTGTCGATTTAACTTTAATACAACATACACTTAGGAACCTGTTGATAAATCTGATATTTATGTTACTTTTAAAAATCGAATGGACTAATAGACATAATTAAAAAAAATAAAAATAACAAAACTAAATAAAAATATTAACTGAACGCAAATTAAAATACATAACATTAGTTAAATTTTTTATAAAAATAATAATAAAGAAAATATTAACAAAACCTCTTTGCTAAATATAAATTGATATTCAAACTTTTTTGATTGGTTTTTCGAATATGGAAAAAAAGAATAAAAAATTGTGTTCTGTTCTTATGTTTTGTTTTGTTGTGTTTTGTTGTGTTAAATTTTTGTTGTGTTAAATTGAATTTAAAAACAAAAAAAAAAGAAACCTACTAATGAATTCAAAACTAAGAAACCTGACGATGATAGGAAAACAAGGTAATTTCTTTTTACGGTTCTGATGAAATATTGATGAAAACTAAAAATATGAAGTACACCAGTCTAGTGCTTGTTGACTGTGGTTTTTCTACCTCAGTAAGAAACGACCTAGGATATCGTTGAGTAATACTGAACGGAACTATAATCCATTTATTATTCTGAATTGTACCACACCCAGGCACTCGACTATTTATCAGCACGAAGCATAACTTTGAAAAGACCATAACGGACAATTCTTTGTTTAAAATCTTTTCGCAGTAATCGTGATTTGTAACAACTTTAAAATGTATATTTTGTTAGTGTAATTGCGAATAATTAAAATATGTTAGCGTTATCGTTAGTTTAAAATGAATGGGTTAGTTTTCGCTATAAAGTTCAAGGGTGTTGTTTTAACTACTAGTTAATTTGGTAAGTGGTTAGCATGGACCTGGTCAATTTATGCGGCGTGCAATTTAACTGGGTTGTGCAATATTCTTAATAATCTATGCCTTTATAAGTCTGTTTTGATAAAAATCGACTTATATTTATGATGTATTATCATTTATTCCATAAACTAGCTTCCGCCCGCAGGTTCGCCGGTTTCGCGTGGTACGTTGATAAAAAGTAGCATACGTCCTATTCCGGAGTGTATCCTACGCCTGTACCAAATTTCATCTAGATCCGTCCAGCCGTTTTGACGTGATTGAGTAACAAACATCCAAACATCGTAACTTTCGCATTTGTAATATTTGTAAGAAGTAAGAGTAAGACACACTATAAGTGAACAATTGACTATCTATCGCCAATAAAGTCTGTTAAGGAGAAATTATGTAGATCATCTGTAAATCTTAAGATTACTTTCACAGTAGAAATTTGCCGCTACCCCCAAGTTGACTCATTTATAATTCGGACAGCTGCACTCCCTAATAAAGCTAAACGTTTTAAATTGTATCTTTTATCTCGTCTGCGAAGAATAAAAATAATTCCTCCATCCTCTTTTAGAGGAGGTCTAGACTGCTGCTATAAAGTAAATCGGACTGCAAAATTTTTTTGAACTGGGTTTAATCATTTAGTGTTTCCCATCTTGCGTGGGGCTAGCTAGAGGAAGTATCAGACTTCTCACTGATTGTACCCGCCCCGTTCCTTCTCGTGCTCCAGACCCGGACTGCGATACGTTATTGTTGCTTGATTGCGACCGGGCTGAACATAAGACCTGTTGGGCCCCATCTGTAGTGATCTATTGGCTCATTGACGCGTAAAAACGATCTGTTAAAGTGTTACATAGGTACTATAGTTATAGTATTTTGTATAGACCAAACTTTTTTATGGGGGGAAAATCGTCAAATGAAACTCTTGCCCAGGGTTACCCGAGAGGGCGTATCAGGCTTTTACTGACTAAAAACGCTCCCGTTCCTTTTCCTGCTAGGCCGAGGCCGCAGTGTATTGTCCAATCTGTAGTTGTTTATGGTCATTTTAAGGTGTGAAATGGTCTGTTGAAGTGTTCTCTTTGTGTGTTGTTATGTTCTGTGTATTAGGAAGCGAAATAATTTATAATATAAAACAATGTATTGATATTATTGTATTGTTTCAGACGACGGGCATGACACCGCTAATGTACGCAGTGAAGGACAACCGAACATCGTTCGTAGAGCGGCTCATTGAACTTGGATCCGATGTCGGCGCACGAAATAATGTGAGTCGTAAACATTTAATAATATTCACAAAGCCAATATTACTGTGATTGTGCAAATTCACATGGTAAATAGAAGTTATGAGCAGAACTACTGCAAGAGACATGGATGACTAGGCATGAAATATAAGATAGTCCATAAATCAAAATTAGACACGTATTTATTTCTTTCTTTGTACAAGATAATACATATTTTATTTTAAATTAAGAACGAAATGTCGTTACATTACCTACAGCTCAAAATAGCAGTCACATGATATTACTAATATTTACAAATAAAGATCAAGGAAATAACCGGACAGTCTGCTTGAGACACACCTAATCATCGTCATAAGTATTTGATGAAAAAATATACTGGTGTTTAGACGGGCAGATTAAAAAAAGATATTGTCCCTTTTACTTAAAAATAGGTGTGTTTGGTAGTTTGGTATCTATATTTAATTAAGTGCTGCTCTTCTATGTTGAAAAATCTGGCGGCTGCCATTGACGTCCTGTCAACCTTTTAAATATTTTATTAAGAGTATAAATAACTTTGCTAAGGTGAAGGTGCAATAATTATTAACAGCATTTAAGTGAGCTCGACGTCTTGAAACAAAGCAAACTAGAACGAAAGGGTAATTTCCTACGAGGCGTGCCAGCCTACCGCCCTTAAGGCGTCTCTGTACAAACAGCGATAATACAGCGAGAATAGCGCACTTACAATTAAGTTAAGTTGGTAGCTTAAACGATCCTCTTTAAGCTTTTAGTTTCTTCATTCTACTCATAAACTAATCCAGTGACTCAGTTTTTTTATTAGCTTTCTTGGTATATGATTCAATAAAATAATAAACTTTTTATAGACTTCGCGGTAAATTCGATACTTTTATCAAAAACAAAACTTTTTCAATAATTTGATCAATTCATTTTGAGTCATCCGTAATGGAGTGATCGGAGCGAATTGGACTGCAGGGTTGGCGCGGTAGCTTAGTAGCGTACGATTCGATTCCTGCACAAAACAACTCTTTGTGTGATCCACAATTGTTGTTCCGAGTCTGGGTGTGATTTGTATGTGAAATTATCTGTTTGTAAACGCACCCAGGGCGCAGGAGAAAATTCTAGAGTGGGGTAAAGTAAAAAAAAATTGCCATATACTACCAGGTGTTCAAAGGTGCCGAGACTCGCACGCTGTTTTTCTAAATTAATTCACGTTAGTGAGTCATTATTATCAGTAGATTAACAGCTTAATGTACAGAAGGAAATACCGATTAAGTTGAAAATAACCATAAAGATTTTAAGTGTGGGAGAGCCATGCTTCGGCACGAATGGGTCGGCTCGACCGGAGTGATACCACGGCCTTACAGAAAACCGGCGTGATACAACCACAGCGTTGTGTTTCGCCGTGTGAGTCAGGTTACCTGAGGCCCAATCCTTCCCCTCCCCCAATCCCTCCTCAATCCCTAAATCTCCAAATCCCTAATCCCTAAAAGGTCGGCAAGGCAACGCACTCGTAACTCCTCTGTTGCGAGTGTCCATGGGCGGCGCTGATTGCTTACCATCAGGTAATCCGTCTGCTTGTTTGCCGACCTTTTACATAAAAAAATAACCCAAAAAAAAACAACCACTACTAACCTAATCTATAAAATCAATTTTCGCATCTGTTCTAAGCGTATATACTCGAACATTCCACGAAGTGAATCATCCTAGCTTCCAGTAAGACGCAGGACTAACATTGGGTGGGTTACACGGTGGAGTTCATGCCTACCGTCACAGATGGCCTGATAACACTCAGCAGGCAATTTATGTTCATAACCTGTAATAGGTCGCCACTCGAGTCTGAACTGACTTGTTGGAAAATGCATTACAGGTTACCTTTGTATTGCTCTAGACATGAACTGGAAATCTCTGTTGCTATGTACAATTTTATATGTAATAATTTTCGGAGATATTCTTAAATATATTACCTTGAATAGATTATCCCTACATAGTATAAAACAAAGTCGCTTTCTCTGTAGTGTACATATATCCCTTTGTATGCTGCTCTTTAAAAGTACTCGACGGATTTTAATGAGATTTTTTCAATAGATAGAGTGATTTTCAGAAGAAGGTTTATATGTGCATACATTAAATAGTGGAAAAAATTAGTAACATCATTGCACGCATGAAAGCCGGGTTGAGTCCCTAGTAATACTTCAAACTAGTTATGTGATTCTTTATTGAATCTTTTTTGTGTGAAAGAATATAAATAAAAGTTAGGTCTGTATCGTGAAAATTTGATGAAAAACACTAGGTTTTACTTTCACTGCCATTTTGTGCCCTCTTGAACTTAACACCTTGTGTTAACCAGTAGATCGTAGGTCACCGGTGAACTACAGTAGCGGAGGGATTTGCCATTAAAATTTTTCTGTTGGTAGTCAAAGGCTTAAGACACAACACTTTGCATGGCCTAAGATACCTAGGGTATCGAGCATTAAAACCGATACTCGGCAATAAGTTACAATCAATCTTACATCGAAAAATGCTATTGATCAAATAGCAAATAAATTAACCCTCTATAGCTATGTCTGTATATAACTTTAAATAAAGTCTAGAACTGCAATTAGATCTAGATTAGCATTCTTTAGATGGGTATCAGGTTCGTGAAAGTTACAAGAGCAGTTTATTTTATTACCCTGCATTGATTACTGCATATTGCGATAAGGCAAATTACTTCTTGGACTTGCAAGTGCTGGTACGATTTCTTTTGATGTAGGTAGTGTTGACCTGAATTAAAAATGTAAAACTTTTTATGTTTCGTATAAATGAAAATTTGATTTTACGAGGAGTAGAAAGATTTGCTTCTCAAACAATATTAATGCTTTAGGATAGCTAAGTTTGTTTTTTATTAAATCATGATAAGGACTACAAGGCACGCAATGGTACTATAGATTCTGCCAAAAAATTTCAGTAACCTATGTTATAAGTAACACTTAATTTCATCCAAAAGGTTAAAAAGCGCCAGGTCCAGTATCGATAATCGTCATTACTTTAGAAACAAAACGAATATGATAAGACTTTTTGTCTGATTATAACTGCAGGCTTCAGTAGATTTCCTCCACGATTAATAATGATTCCCTAAATAGAAGTATCACCATCCAACCTAGGCAAAGCTAGACAATTGGGTTTGCATTTGCTCCGTCATCAAAATGTACTGTAAAATTTTAATATAATTCAAGAAGTCTCATCAAGAACATGAGTCAGGGCCCTGACATTAGCAGCAACAAATGGTACGAGGTGACTAATAGCACGCAACCTCTGAATTACACATTACCACACAAAACTCGCTGCTCTACAGCTTCCCAAATTTTATCACAAGTTTCGTTATAAAGCTTGTAATATGTGTCAAGTTTAAAATGGACGTACGACAATAATACGGAAAGTATCCATTAAACATAAGTAGGCAAGGAATTTACGAATATTCGCTAAGATAGTCCTTTTCCCATTCTTTTCCTAAGTATAAAAAATTAAAAAAGTTTACGGCCTTGGCCTAGAGCAGGAGAAGGAACGAGGAAATTTTATTTAATAAGAGTCTGACATTCCGTCTGACTATTCCCTGGCCATGAAAAGTCATTTAATGATTTTCCCTCTTCAAAAACCTGCTACGCAACATATTGCTGGTTTGATACCCGCGCAGCACAACACTGCGTGATTACAAACTCTTTACTCGGGTCTTATTAGTTTGTGTATGTGAATATGCATGTTTGTAAAGTATCTATGACACAGGAAAAAAATACAAGTGTAGGGCAATTTTATATATGTAGATATACATATGTTGCAACCAGTTGCAACAATAAAATAATTAATATTGCACTATTACTTCTATTGCATTATATATTTTTTCTTTATTAAACACTTTTTTTAAATATGTGCTTACTCATCAGCAATCGGCATCATCTCTCATCCCGATCTCTGGTCTTACCTGGTATAAAAAAATCACTATTATGTATCTTAATTCTCCAATATTATAAAAATATTCTATAAAACCATATCATGCAAAAAGCAATAATTAAAGTAGTATACAGTAGGTATTACACAATACATAGCCCAGTTTGCATACATATTGATTAAGTACGCTAATGTCTCAGCAGGACCTGCCTGCACGCGATCTATCAACGAATATACCCACATAATTATGTTTATACATATTTACTACGCGAAAGAATGTTTGGTGAAAATTGTGCCTACGTAATGTATGTCATTTGGCGACACCTATTTCAAACGTCCGCTTGTTTTTCTCAAGGCCAAATAACGGTGTTTTTTCTTGATTATTTTGGTAGTCGGTTACTTGCTTATATGCTAATTACTTTAATGCATATTGTTAATGTTTTATTACGCCTTAATCGAGTTAAACATTTTGAATAATGGCACATTAAAAGAGTACACGCCTAAATCCATTAGGATCCTTTCCAATTTTTTTGCATATTCTACATTTTGCTTTGTGTAGGTATGTATTGAAAAAACAATTTCAAAAACTTACATTAACATCAATTTATAAATTTATTAGTATTCAAGAGATGTAAATTTTAATTTTGATTATATTCTGTACCGCTATATTTGTATGCCAAAAAGGCCAAACATGACGAACCTATGTACCCCTATTGAACACCCTGCGTGCTTCGTATGTAAACTCATGATTCCGACAAATAAAATTTCTTGTATCTTTATCTTATATTATGTTGATTTCGTCACAAACGTAGGTGCGTAGCAACGTAGCATTAATCTACGTAGTCAGTATTTGCTACGGCGTAGATGTGCTACGCCAAAAATTCTTATGAATTTTTATAGCCTCTGATAAGTTTTTGTAACTTTTGCAAATGAAGCAATTCTAAGAAAACTGCTTGGTTTCCCCTACTAAGGGTATATTTTATGGTCACAATAATACAACGGCGAGGAACTAACCCTGAAATTTAAAATGTATTTTATGGCGTCTAGCTCTCTATTTCATTTTTTGCCAATAAAAGCTATATAAGGCTAATGTTTTCGATCTAGATTCGTCTGTCGGTCTGTTGTTGAACCTAAATTATTGTACAAAATAACCCAAAATGTAACATCCGTACTAATCCCGTAAGAAAAACCGTATCTCCACACTAATATTATTTTGTTGTTAAATAAAATATACGCAGGATTTTAGAAAGATTTTAGAATGTTAGAAACATTTTTGATTCCAAATATTTATTTAAAGAGATATGTCGACGTTTACATCATAGATGGTAGTACCTGTAACACGTAAAAAAGTTTTTTCTATTTAAAACTTTTTAATTTATCTCTTATACCATATTTTTGTTATAACATGTGAAAACCATTATATATTTGAATATTATACGTATACTTATTGAGGACTTTTCGACGTTAGTAACGCGGGAGTTGTAGATTAACGTTGTTTAAGAACTATTATGACAAGTGCGCCATTAGAGAAATTATGTTAATGATAGTGATTATAATTATATAATTTGTTTAACAGGACAACTACAATGTTCTACATATATCAGCCATGTACTCGAGGGAGGACATTGTCAAGCTGCTGCTGTCCAAGAGGGGAGTCGATCCTTTTGCCACCGGAGGCGTAAGTATATTATTATAAACCATTGGAGTCACACTCACCACACAATGACATATTATATTTATTGAATTTTACATAAAATAAATTATTTAAGTGTAATTTTCTGATTTTAAATATAATTCCAGAACATTCAGCTTCTAAAATTTACAGTACTTCAATTATATTAAATATTTACTTTACAAGACCTTCACATAACACTGAAAACGAAAGTATACATATATAAGTAGACTACAAGAACTAGGTCTGCCATTAACATTAATTCCCACGTAACTGAAATAAAATATTGCATTTAGAGCAAGTACAAGTGGCTGGGCGTTTTATTGTTGTTTTATACATAATGGTGATTACAGAGCCGGCAACAAACCGCGGTACATTTGGTCGCCAGTCGGCAGACCGGTACAGCCACCAGCATTCTCAGGGCTCTGCTCACCGCCGCTGGAAAGGACATCAGACTTCGAGTTGATGGGGTACGAACATTTTTCTAACCCCATTAAACATTAGAAGCACTTTCGACTGCAAGTCAGTCTTTCACGTTTTCCATGTTCATTCAAAAGTTTGTTCATCTTTCCCTCACAAAGGTCATTTACTGTCTGCTGTTCTCGTTAGTACGTCGACCGATACCTACCTACTGATACTTCTACTTAGCAAATACATAAATGTATGCAAATTAGTAATAGTAAAACTAAACGACCGATGCGAATTGAGTACAATAAGTCTTAAGCTTTATAGCGTAGTTATTAGAGTTATGATTTGTAAATACAAGAGTAGTGAACGGGGCGTAGATGCAGCGTCGTCGCAGCGATCGCGTGCAGCCGCGCCGCCTGGCACCACCATCCGCCTGATTCAGGAACTACCCCCGAAAACACCCTAAACACAACCTGTAAACAAAGCTCTACGTTTAGGCTGCGAGCTGAATCAAATTTAACCCTACCAAGTTATAAAACTTTGAAACTTATAGTGCCGTCGTTTGTCGCAACACGCATCAACTGACAAAAATAATCCGGCCATCACTAACTATGAGTAAATTCCAGCAATACGCGAGTGTCGCGGCCACCGCGACTCCCCAAGGCTGACGTGCTGGGTACGGTTCCGATAGCAGGAACGAGCCACCCTGTACGAATAGAAACTAGCTAATTATCCGTCGAGCTTTAGCCGCCGAGTAAACGTCACCACGCGAATTTACAATGCAAATCACTCGCTGAATATTAGTTACAACGTCAGCACTGAAATTCAAAATTAGTAATTTTAATACAATACGTCTCAGTCGGTCCTTCGTCACGACTAGAGGAAGGCAGCTCCGCCATGGCCTCCGACTTTAGTCCGCGTAGCTAGTACTTAGTACTCATGGAGGATCAAGTACGTATCACTAGGTCTGGCGTGACGGGCTTTACTTGCTAAATCGGAAATCGTGTCAATTTCGAATACATCGGTATTCAGTGAGAAGCACGATAGACGATCGATTATACGTTATTGTCTATTTGCCTGCGAAGACTGCGATGCACATAAATCGAGTAGTATTGTCTGTGGTGTCTCGGCTCGGAAGCGATTCGTGCAGTTGCAGGCCGCAGTGCAGGGCGTGTTGTGTGTGCCGGGTGCTGGGCGCGACATGAACGAGGGCCGGGACGCCGCCAGTGCCAGCCGCTGCGGCCGCCGCAGCCCGCCGCTCAACCTGCAGGCGAAGGACCTGCAGAGGCTCGAAATCAGTTTCATCGAGCTGAACAAGGAGCGCGCCAAGCAGAAAGAATGGAAAAAGCTAATTCGCGACATGGTGTTCCAGAGGGGGAAGATCCCGCTGCTGCTGGCAGTCGAGGCAGGCAACCAGAGCATGGTGCGCGAGCTACTCAGCGCGCAGACGGCCGAGCAACTTAAGGTATGTGTGCAGCAGCGTCTCTTGTGTGGCGTTGTCATGTGTATGTATTTACTTATATTGTCATGCAACTGCACACGAGACTCGTATGAATTATACACAAACATTCTTTCACTACTTGTATTATTCGCAAGTTTCCTTACAGATTTAGTATTCATATAGCGTTGCGCGCGTACTTTATTTTATATCTTCTTCTTAATAAAAATTTTCTCTTCAATCTCTATTTACATGTAGGATACATAAGTTCGTTGTCTCATTTTAAAATATTATTTCAAGCATTTCTTATTTTCATCTCCTTCTATACACTGTCCATTACCACCCTGCTTTGCCACTATCAGAACGCTTCAGCCACTCATTACCCAGTGTGACGCGGGTACTAATTCCAGTAGTTTAACAACCCGTGTGCCACTCAGGCCTGCACCCCTACGGGGGACACAGCTCTTCACCTGGCGGCCAGGAGACGAGATGTGGACATGGCAAGGATTCTCGTCGACTACGGAGCAGCCGTGGATGCAGTCAATGGAGCTGGTCAGACTGCACTACACATCGCCGCTGCTGAAGGAGACGAACCTCTCGTCAAGTACTTCTATGGAGTCAGAGCGAACGCTGCCATTGCAGATAATGAAGGTAAAGAGTGATCTATTTTAATCATTGCGTAGCTACTGCTATAATTTAAAGTGTCGTTGTAGCAAGGAGGTTAAAGCGCCCACTTTTCATGCGTGAGGGTGCTGGTTCGAAACCTGGCAAGTACCAATGTGACTTTTTACGAGTTATATGTACTTTCTATGATTATTTAGACACAAGTGAAGGAAAACATCTTGAAGAAACCAAGACTTTTAATTTTTAATTAGAAGTTTGAAATCACCAATTCGCCTTGAGCAAGCGTGGCGATTAATGTTCATACCTTGTACGTGTTAGAAGAGGCCTTTGCTCAGCACTGAGCAGTTATAAGCTGATGACGATGATGAATATCATCATCTAATCTAAGGCTTTTCCATATTCCGTTTCAGACCGGACGCCGATGCACTTGGCAGCTGAGAATGGCCACGCAGCAATCATCGAGCTCCTAGCTGATAAGTTCAAAGCATCAATCTTCGAGAGAACGAAAGATGGTAGCACTCTGATGCACATTGCCTCGCTCAATGGCCACGCTGACTGCGCCATGATGCTCTTCAAGAAAGGAGTCTACCTGCATATGCCTAATAAGGTATAAATGACAATTGATCCTTTATTCACCTAAGTGATACTGTGTGTTAATAATAATTATTAATTGATGTACTATAGACTATATAGATGTATAATAATTGATATAACATACTTTAAATTTTCGAGTTACATATTAATACTTTACTGTTTTACGGGATTTAGCGCGCACTTTATTTGTTTTTTGCTTGACGTTTCGAGACGGTTACACTTGCCGAGGTCACAAGCAGACTAGTAACTCCCGTAAAACAGTATAATGTTAATAATAGAGTAGCAAATGATTAAAACCATTAACAATAAGCTTCCTACATTTTATACATGGTACAAATAATATTATTCGATCTGATAATACGAAATTTTGTTCAGAAGTAGCCATCACGTTAATTTACATTATTTTTATCACAAAATCCACTTTAACATAATTAATAGAAATATTTTCTAGATTTAGTTTTAGACCTCAAAACCTAAAGTCATCTGTCACTCAACACTACGAGCTAAAAAGTAAAAAACATTTTTACTTAACAAAGGCATATTGTACCAGGTATTAATTAAAGAAAGAAAAGTTCAAACCAATGCAATTACTAACTAGCAAAGGCCTAGTTTCCTTTGTTTTCTACCAACATTGAGTTTAACCGCACCTACGTGAACAGCGCTCGTAGAGCCCATGGCTTTTTCAACGATTACTTTTTATATACACTGCAAACTATTTTAAAATTGATACAATTTTCAAAATGAAGGACAAGTGACATCGTAAATAAATTCGTTTATTTACAACTGAAACATATTTCAATGCATTTGTCATTTAGTAGCTAATGACGAAAAGAAAGACTATAGATATGTATATCAAGGCAATCAATCTTCGGTATTTCTTGTCTCAAGACAAAATTGAATAATATTTGAGTTAATAATTAAGATTTATCTTTCAAACTCATGACACAAATAATAGTGATAAATATTCAAACACTAGCTTTTGCCCGCGACTAGCGTGGCATAGTGACTTCCTGAAGATTTTTGGTTAAAAACTATCCTATGTCTGTACCAATAATTACACAGAAATCGATTCAATAGTTTAGGCGTGAAAAAAAGACAGACAGACAGACAGAGTTACTTTCGCAATTATAATGTTAGTTTGGATTAAAATTAAATGGTGCGTAGGTATAGTCACGCATCGTCTTATAGACTGGCAAAGGCGAAAAAACGTCATACATCGTGATTTCTATACATACGCATATTGCTTACTCATACATCAAAAACAAATTCGAAACTTAACTGTGAAATATTAAAAAAAATACAAACAAATTAAAATTAATAACCGTAAAAGAAATGACGTCACAACTAAACAAAGCGTGAAATTGACTGTAAAAATCGAAGTGTCTAAATAAATTCTGTCCACTCAAAATGTTGAACAAGCTATGTCACTGGAAGACAAGAAAGATGGCGGTTATTAATAACTGTGTAGTGATTTAACAATTCAGACACGTTTAAATTAATTTCGAACGTTACCGTGACATTGTCTTCATTGTACAGGTTTGTAGCACAAACCGCGTCTTGTACACGAAAAACGTTGCGTGCTTAATTTTAATCGTCGTCAGTGCATTCGTAATTAAGCACAATTCATATTGTTAAACGGCCTTAGCCTGATTTTAGTAATGGAAGCACTTTTTTAGTTTCACATGTTTTTTGGACGTGGGAAAAGTCATGAAATGCGTTTTTCCGCCTTAGGTGGGAAAAGGAGTGTCAGAAAATTTTCAAAATCGAAATCTTTTCAAATTCTTTAGTTACGGGACTGACTTTTCTGGAACTTCAACTATTAAATGGTTTTTGTGTATGTCAATAGTAACGTACTATGACACTCTTAAAATGAAATATTATTAAACCTCACTTTTAAAAATTATGTGTTCGTCCAACAACCCTTGCAAACAGGCTATTATTTTTTTGTTGTAAGTTTGAAATGGTCTATCCGTCATGGGCAAGCGTGGTGATAAATGCTTAATTCTTCTTCGTTCAAGAAGAATCCTTTACAAAAAAGTCAGATCATGGCAGAAAACGATTATGATGTTAATGAAAATTAACACTTAGAACGCCATGTCGGACGATGCTGTCCGACGCTAGCGGAGGGTTAGCTTCAACAATTGTTGTCGCAGTTAAATGCTTAAATACTGAAGTTCCTAATTTTGGAAATAAATATCAACTGTTGTTATAAATCACGCAGTCCAATCACAAGGCCATGCGACGCCCGCCCGCATTAATAAATTAAAAGACCATCAATGTTGTCACAAATCTTTCCTCTTTAAGGAAAACGATCACAATCACCAACCTTGTTAGAAGTAAAACGGAATGTACATAGAATTACATTATCTAGTTAGTTATATGTGACATGTCAGGATTTCCTGCGGGCTGCGTATAAAGGTCAGTCCACACTGGCGGACGTACAACAGTGGGAAGTGACCTTTACCATACAGTCGTAAAAGCAGTGAAATTATACGCATAGAGTTTTATGCAAATATTATATTATCATGATATGCCTTTTGTTAAAAAGGGGTAGGAATATTTTTATGTTTATGAATGCTTTAGGTACAATGGTTGTAGGTATATAATTTTCAATATCTTTTTTATAAGCAGTGAGTTTACTGGAGGCACAATTCTTCCCCAATCTCCAAATCTCTTACCTTAATCCTTAAAAGGCCAACAAGGCACTCATAACTCCTATGATGGTGCGCGAAGAGATGACCTATCGTAAAAAAATGGTGATAATTATTATTAATGTTGACATCTGAATAATTTTGACATTTTTTTGGGAAAGCTCTTTGTTAAGCGGTGAACTATGGACGCATTTTATCATGATTATTATCATAATATTCAGGAGAAATTGCTTTTACATCTCAATCGACTTAATAAATTCTTTTTAGGACGGTGCCCGCAGTATCCATACGGCGGCGAGGTACGGCCACGTTGGAATCATAAATACGCTGCTGCAGAAGGGAGAAAGCGTCGATGTTACAACAAATGTAAGTCTTTAATACCTAGAAAAATCACATCATAAACCTCAAAATTCATTTTTTATCATTACCTACCTATACTTAGTAATATTATAAAGAAAGGCAAAATTTGTGATTTATAAGTTTTCATGTGGGGGGTAAACTTTGGAATAGCTGATCGGATTTCCAAAATTTTTTACTAATAGATAGCTATAAAACACGCTACGATCTATGGTAGCCGAGCAGTGAGCCGAGAGTATCTAGTTGCTTATATGTATAAAAGATTTGATGCAACAAATTCCACAACGCCCTTTACACCACTTTTACTTTTACAGAAATAGATGAAATTAATGCAGATCGAGCATGTTTTTTTTTTACAAGTGTTTCTATTTTTATTTATAACTTTCGTGAGACATTCTAAATTATTTATTATGTTTTCAGCTTACTCACGTAATAATTTGACGAGATACTCGACTAGTTTCAAGCCATGCTAGAGAGCAGCGCGACAGTCGCCGAGTCGCGTGTCGCGAAATGCTGCTCATGAATATAGACCTCTAAGCATGGCTTGAAACTAGTCGAGTATCTCGTCAAATTATTACGTGAGTAAGCCGAAAACATAATAAATAAGTGTTTCTTATGATATTACGTAGATATAGATTTATAACATAATTTAATTTTATTAGGTATTAATAAAGCCGTGTCATTTGCTGTGCCCGACACGGTAAATAATGATCTTAATCCTTATGTGCTCATACATAACAAAGTAAATAAAATTACATAGTCCAAATCACCTACAAAAATAATGGAACTAATGGAACCTAATGTAATATTATGGAATGCATTTGAGTTTTAGTTTGAGTTATGCTGTAGGTACTGTCTTTTTTTATTGTCACTGACCCTCAGCTGATCAATGAAGAATTTGCTAAACTGTATTTTACCAGTATCTTCTTGGTTAGTTCTATATGATCAAATTTATTTTAAACGGCACATGGCGATCGTGGTGGTACCCGCTTCTCGTGCATGAGGGTAGTTATACAAAATTTCTAATTATAGATTTGAAATCGTTAATCCGCCTTTAGCGTGGTGATTAAACCTTCTCCGTATGATAAGAGCTTTAAACGAGCCAAGCCTAAATAGTATAGATCTTTTTAATTTTAAAAGAGGAGGATTTTTTAATGTGGTTCACTCATTTCATAGTTTTATATTATGGTCTATCTGTAATGTACAGGATAACTACACAGCGTTGCACATAGCTGTCGAGTCTTGCAAGCCAGCAGTCGTGGAGACATTGCTAGGGTATGGAGCTGATGTCCACGTCAGAGGCGGGAAGCAGAGAGAGACGGCACTACACATAGCTGCTAGGATACCAGATGGTAAATAAAATGGTTTTTCTTCGCTTTATCCTGATTTCAATAGGATAGGCAATTAGACTTTTCTTCTGAATGCTTGTATTTTAAAAGGGGCAACGAAACTTTGGTATGGGGTGAAGTTTACGTTCATAGTCAATTCCCAATTTGGGTGTTTAGACTTCGAGCTGCAATGACTATCGTTTATGTTTGTAAGACAACCGAGAAAGCATGCAAATACCCACCTGCTAAAGCCTGTTTGTTAAAACCTAAACATAATTTGTTTTATTCTTGAAGAATGATTTGGTGTGTAAGTGGTAGGTAGCTACTTGGGTTCTAATCTAAAGGCTTGGTTTCTACGATACCATTTTCTTGAACAAACAATAACCGTAATTGTATTTAATAATTCTACACATTTAAGGCTCGTTCACATTATGCCATAAGTATTTTTAGACCATGCAAGTAAATAATAGGTTTAATTAATTTTATGCAACCTTACATTGTAGCTTTAATCAATATTACTTATCGAAGCAAAATAAGCAAATCTAAGAATGAATATTTTTCCATTCTAGGTGACAAATGTGCGTTGATGCTATTGAAATCTGGTGCTGGTCCTAACAAGGCGACAGAAGATGGCCAGACTCCAGTACACGTGGCTGCAAAATATGGTAACCTCGCTACACTTTTATTACTGCTCGAGGATGGCGGAGATCCGCTGAGGAAAACCAAGGTAAAAGACATTCATTAATTTCTGTATCAATACAAAAATATTTATGTAATTCCCATATGAAAAAAGTCTTTTATTTACAATGTAAATTATACAAAGTTTGTAGTTGAAGTAGGTATTCCGTTTATTTTTGTAACAATAATGAATTAACTAAGCATATCATTAAACAGGTGGTATTTTTTTTATTTTTATATTTCGCACTCAAAATTATTTACTTGTTCATAGACTGGTGAGACACCTTTACACATGGCGTGTCGAAGTTGTAAACCAGATGTCGTGCGACACTTAATAGAATTCGTAAAGGATCATAAAGGTGAAAATGTCGCCACATCGTACATTGACTCCGTCGACGAAGATGGAGCGAGTGCACTACACTTCGCCTGCAAAATTACCAAAGAAGAAGTCAAAATACCAACAGCTGACAGACAAGTTGTTAAATGCCTCATAGAGAATGGTGCCGATGTAACATTAATAACAAAACACAATTATGAAACTGCCTTCCACTTTTGTGCCATAGCGGGAAACAACGATGTGATGACTGAGATGATAGCGCACATATCTCCTGCAGACGTCAGCAGAGCACTGAATAAACAAAACTCAATAGGCTGGACACCATTGCTGATAGCTTGTCACAGAGGACACATGGAACTTGTTAGTACGCTGCTAACAAACCACGCCAGAGTAGACGTGTTTGATACTGAGGGTAGATCTGCTCTACATCTAGCCGCTGAGCATGGTTTCTTACAAGTCTGCGATGCTCTCCTAACGAACAAAGCATTTATTAATTCCAAAGCGAGAAATGGCAGAACAGCTCTTCACTTAGCTGCTATGAACGGCTATGCACATCTTGTCAAATTCTTAATACGAGATCACAATGCCATGATTGACGTTCTAACATTAAAAAAACAGACTCCGTTACATTTAGCATCAGCGAGTGGCCAAATTGAAGTGTGTAAACTTTTATTAGAACTCGGAGCTAATATCGATGCAACAGACGAATTAGGACAAAAGCCTATTCATGCAGCAGCACAAAACAATTACAACGAAGTAGTTCAACTTTTTTTACAACAACATCCGAATTTAGTGATGGCTACAACGAAGGATGGAAACACGTGCGCTCATATTGCAGCTATTCAAGGCTCAGTGAAAGTGATTGAGGAACTGATGAAGTTTGATAGGACCGGTGTTATATCGGCTAGGAACAAATTGAATGACTCGACACCACTACAGTTAGCTGCTGAAGGTGGTCATGCAGATGTAGTTAGGGTATTAGTCAGAGCAGGAGCTTCCTGTACAGATGAGAACAGAACTGGTCTTACTGCGGTACATTTGGCTGCGCAGTATGGCCACACCAATGTATTAGATGTAATGCGATCGACAAATACGTTAAGGATATCAAGCAAAAAGTTAGGATTGACACCATTACATATAGCTGCTTACTATGGACAAGCTGGTAAATACATGACACAAAAAACAAATCACGTAAAATGCATTTCATTTATACATACAATATTAATATATTTGTTTTTATTTTAGAAACTGTTCGAGAACTTCTATCTCACGTTCCTGGCACAGTGAAGTCAGAAGCTCCTACTGGTGTATCGCTAGTTCCGGAGCTCGGGGCTGAGTCTGGTCTAACACCGCTACACTTAGCTGCTTACAATGGTAACGAAAACGTTGTGCGACTACTCCTTAACTCTGCTGGAGTACAAGTTGACGCCGCGAGTAATGAAAACGTAAGTATTCATTATATTCCCCACATATACTTGATGTGATATAACAATTACAATTTGTCTCATCCCAGGGCTTCAATCCACTACATCTCGCATGTTTCGGAGGTCACATGTCTATTGTCGGGCTCCTACTCAGTAGATCAGCTGAACTACTTCAAAGTACAGACAGACACGGCAAAACTGGGCTACACATAGCTTCGACACACGGGCATTACCAAATGGTAGAAGTTCTGCTCGGTCAAGGAGCTGAAATCAATGCGACTGACAAAAATGGATGGACGCCATTACATTGTGCTGCTAAAGCTGGACATCTCAACGTTGTGAAGCTTTTGTGTGAATCAGGAGCGTCGCCTAAGAGCGAAACTAATCTTAACTGCGCTCCAATTTGGTTCGCTGCCTCAGAGAACCACAATGATGTCCTCGAGTACTTACTGCACAAAGAACACGACACTCAGTCCCTAATGGATGACAAGAGATTCGTGTACAATCTCATGGTGTGCTCTAAGAACCACAACAACATACCAATCGAAGAGTTTGTGTTAGTCTCGCCGGCGCCAGTCGACACTGCAGCTAAACTGTCTAATATTTACATTATTCTATCCACTAAGGTACGGATCGCACTTCATTGCTTATAGAATATTAAGTGACCTAATATTAATGTAAATCGTTTGCCGTAACAGGAAAAGGAGCGTGCCAAAGACCTTATAGCGGCAGGAAAACAGTGCGAAGCGATGGCCACCGAGCTACTGGCACTCGCGGCCGGGGCGGAGTCCGCCGGACATATACTCACCGCCACCGACAATAGGAATATAGAATTCCTCGATGTTTTAATAGAAAATGAACAGAAGGAGGTTATAGCCCACACAGTTGTCCAGAGATATCTTCAGGTAAAAAATAGGTAACTTCTCTACTTCACAGAAACTTGGTGTCACAGGCATTTGGCGATGCTCATCGTTTCTCTTGTTTACAGGAACTCTGGAGAGGGAGCCTCAAATGGACGGGCATCAAAATTATGTTCCTTTTTTTCGCATTCATAGTATGTCCACCCGTGTGGATGGTATTCTCTCTTCCATTAGGCCATAGATATAATAAGATACCTATAATTAAGTTCATGTCGTATTTAACTTCACACATTTACCTGATGGTATTGTTAGCCTTAGTAGCGATAACGCCTATTTATAATTCGATATTTAGGGACAGTTTAATTCCAAGGTGGTATGAATGGATGCTGCTCATTTGTCTGAGCGGTCTCCTACTTTTTGAGCTCACCAACCCCAGTGACAAATCTGGTTTAGGGTGGATCAAAATAGCAGTATTATTATGTGGCATGATCGGCGTGGCTACACACGTCGTCGGCTGGATATTCGTATTACCTAAGTATTGGCCAACGCTTATGTATTGTAGGAATCAATGTTTTGCGTTATCATTTCTATTGGCGTGCGTTCAGATATTAGATTTCTTATCTTTCCACCACCTGTTCGGTCCGTGGGCTATTATTATCGGAGATCTGATGAAGGATCTCGGAAGGTTCCTCGCTGTATTAGCGATATTTGTGTTCGGCTTCTCGATGCACATAGTGGCATTGAACCAGCCGTTCAGGAACATTATAAAGGCTGAAGACAATAAGTATGCGAGACAAGCAAGGAAGAAGCTGTTCTCCGACGGTGAGTGTGAATCCATTTTGTACGATGTTGCCTTCCATGACATACTCCTTAGACACAGTTCATCCATGTATGATGTATGTATGTAGATCATGACTGTGTGTTCATTCAGATGTTTAATGATGTACTTGTTACTGAAATAGAAACCCTTCGATTGAAACGGCAAGCGTTTGATACGCAATGGCAAAGTTCACTCTCTGAAGAGACGTACAGAAGGAAACAAGGGTCGACGGGACGTAAGTCCGCATAGTACATGAACAAGAGTGTATCGTTTCATTATATGTGCATTATACATTACTAGCATTTTCCTTACGATGATCGCATTACTACTCGATGTGCTTGTTTCCTTGTTATTTTTATTATTAACAATATTGTGCATCCGCTTGCAAGCTTCAGTGTCTGTCACATCGAGAATGTTATCATCGTTGGCGTACTCCATAACTCATTAGATTACTGTTGCCACTCTAAGAATGTGAATGTTAGGTCTCTGTAACATACAAAGTACACTTCGCCTCGCCATAATTTCAAAGTTTATTTTCTTATATTATGGCACGTGTAAGTGGTTTGGTGGTTAGATAACTTGATGTCTATTAAATACACAATGCATTTTCTGCATCGCATCGCATAGCTTTACGAGAGACGTGGTTTGCAGATGTGGACACAGAACATGCATTGCGCGTCACAATACTAGTTGGTAGTGGAATGAGTGCCCGACCTCACCGCATTTGATGGAGCAAGTTTGATTTGCGCATGCCGCGGCTGGCTTATGTCCTGCGTTTGTTACACCACTCCGAGGTACCATTTTATGTTTCGGTCATGTTTGGCTGTTTGTCGTCATTGTGGCGTCTGTCTCGCCCGCGCTCTCGGTGTTCTAGTCGTAGACGGGACGGGGTGGATTGATGCACTGGTATAATAAGTGATTCAATAATTGTTACCTATAATTCGAACACTAACACTTTATAATATTCAAGACAATACCAAATTCTAAAAATGAGTACAACACACATACTTACACTTCTTTATACCATTGTACAGAATACATACACGAACGTATCAATCTATCTCATCCACACATAGGTGTCTAGCCGTGTTAGATTATTAGATTTTCGGGAAGATTGATGCAAGCGTACAATAATGATTTTCATAATGTTAGTAAACTCTTAGCATTGTACAGAGTGTATAGGCGAAAACCATGCATCAACCTCCCCTGACCGCGTTTGTTCGCGTCGTTTGAAACTAGACCGAGGTCCATGTTGAGTGTTGTCTTCTAGCGACGTTGTCACCGATCGAGGCGGTGGAGAGACTGTTCCTCACAATTTTCGGTCAGATAACGCTATCGGACCTAAACTACGTGTCCAGCGTGCGGCCGCTGTGGACGCAGAACATATTCAAGTTCGTGTTCGGGGCGTACTTACTGCTGTCGGTCGTGGTGCTTGTAACGCTCCTCATTGCGATGATGTCGGACACTTACCAACGCATCCAGGTAACTACGTGTCGCCCAGAACTCTGATCTCTTGTTCGCAGTTACTATGAACCCACTGTACTCGTTCGAGCTGCTGTTCTTCGCGGTATTCGGCCAGACGACGACGGACCAGACCCGGGTGCATCGTAATGATAGTACCATCCAGCCAGCCTGGACTAATTACCTGTTTAAAATTGTGTTCGGAATCTACATGTTGGTGTCAGTCGTGGTACTGATCAATCTGCTCATTGCTATGATGTCAGACACGTACCAAAGGATCCAGGTAACACGTGAACTGGTTTAATGATGATGTTATACGCTGAACGCATACTAGCACCGACACAACTACTGTTTAAAGCGATGCTGACGCATTAAACTACTTAAATCTATGACGAAAGCGTTGCATGCTGTGGAAAAGGGGTGATGACTGTGTCAAATCTGTTGAGTAATCTAAAAAAAAGGATATCCTCATTTTTTGATTCAATTTTAAGGCTAAGTTTTAGTATTTTACTTTACTTAAATGAATTAATTTTATTTAATGTAAAAAAGTTATAACTTATCTCGTACATAATGACTAATCGTACAAGAAATACTTGATATTTCTTAGAAAAAATAATATATTTGACTAGTTATCATCATTCCCATTAATTGACCTCTAATTGAAACTAGATCTAAATTGTTTTACATTATTATCTCTTACTTCTTACTTCTCACTTGCTTCCACGGATGTTTGATTATCTTGAAATTGATAAAAATGAAAGCGATAAAATAAATAAAAATATTAAAATTGATTTATGTTTATCACATAAAATTCTAAACTAAACGAACGAATTACTAATTAACCTACATAGGAAAATCACTATTCTCTTAGCAAAGAGGTTTTTATTTAAAACTCTTGTTACATTTTTGTAATATGCGATGTTTTATTTCAGGCCCAATCAGATATTGAGTGGAAGTATGGTCTGTCCAAGTTGATACGCAACATGCATCGGACGAACACAGCGCCATCTCCTCTCAACCTGGTGACCACGTGGTTGATGTGGCTCATACATCGCTGCAAGGTGAGATATACTTACAAATATTACTTTTAGACTACAGTAAGACTAGTAGGCATCTATGTATTACGTGTCAAAATAGGAATTTTCAAGTTTCGATTGAATAGGATAGTCCAGTTGTCTCGGAATTCGAGATATTCAGGTTGACTGTAAATACTTGACTTGTATATTGGCACACTAAAACTTTTCTCAAAATCTACATAAGAATTTTATGATTATGATATATGTTGAGTATACGTAACTTTTAAATTTTCAAGGTCAAAGACCATAAAAAACATATTTTGCTCGTTTTTGTAAATGTTTCATTACCTATGGGATTGTTCTAGTTTTAACAAACGCCAAATTGGTAAAGATTTTTGTATAAAAACAGCGCAAAAAACCGACTTTTGTGACCTTGATATCAATGAAAAAAATAATTTATTTTTGTTATTTAGTTTATTTTTTCAAATTCAAAGTCGAAGTCAAAGATCTTTATTGTGAGACAGCGGTTAAAGAAGTTGTTCTACAGGTAAACAACAATTGTAAATAGGTCATAAAACAGCATTTTTACCAGTCATAATTATACAGGGTGTAAAAAGACACTATAACGAAGCCGAAAGCCACGTATTCTACCCATTATTTAGATCATTTTTTTCTTTAAGACCATAGCTGGGACTCCACGGGTTCTCGAGATATTGAAGGTCAAAGATGCATTTTTAATTTTTCATTTTTTGCGCAATCCAATTCTAAGTATTATTACAAAACCTTTTTCCAAACAAACATTACCCGAATTATCGATTTTCCTAAATAAATTACGCATTTGAAGTTACGAACAGTAATGTACGTAATAAATAAATGCAGACCCGCACAAAAAACATCGTGCAACTCAGTAGGATTTTTATTTTACAGAATTGTTTTGTTGTTGCTAAGTAAAACCTCGACCTACGTACTTATCACAGCGTTTTAATGCTAAGCTGTGAACCTACGCACACAATGACACGAAGCCCGTTTGCTTTACATTGCGCGCAAATATTTTTTTTGTTTTTGATAGCTAAAAATAAAAGTCGTTTCCCAGTGATAATTTTAGCGTAAAGCTACTTAGTTAGAACTGCAGTATGCGTAGTTAACGGCTTCGTTAAGTGTCTTTTTACACCCTGTATATAAAAAACTAGATGAAGTCGGCATTTCCTATCTGACTAAAAAGAAATGCCGAAACAAACCCAGAGGTATAAATTATATACAATTAATATTGAATAATTAGATACTTACAGCTGGGTATCTCAAATTCCGCAGTTAACTTACTGGTATAGGATGCTCACAGTAATCTACTACGCCTGTAATAAATAGATCATCAAATCATTACTTAAGTACCTCCAAGCAACTCACTAGCCATACGTCAACCTTGGTTTTAATTATAAAATAATAGGATTATCATAAAAAAAATTAGGCAACCCTCTATAGCTGTCTAAATTTTGTGTTGCAAGCAGTGAACTTATTATTTTTTTAAATATTTTTTGGATATTTCGTTATTTATGATATTTTTGTGAATGATATTAAATTAAAATTGTATTCAAATTGGAATAGAAAAAAATCTAAACTAGCTACTAGTTTATCTGTATGTTTACTAGTCACACTAAAAGTACTCGTAGACAATGATTTGCTTATCTGTAATAGTGCCGGTCAGAAACATCAAATTTCTTTATAAGTAGTTTCAAAGTACTTTACAAATTTTATGAAGGGGTTTGACATTAAAAATAAACTTAGTATAATCAAGATCATTGACATTAAACATAGTATGAAATAGATTAGTTAAAGCTTACTCTGGTATGTAGCTTTTAATTACAACATTGAATCATTTTTAATATTGTAACGTTAAGCCTAGTCTTAGACGACTTCACTGCTACACGTCATACACAACACTAAAATATAACGAAAATAAATTTTAATGTGGCTCAACAATAAAAAAAAACAAAAAAAAAACGCATCAGACCACGCCACCTGTAGACGCTAAATTCAGAAAAAAACTAAGCCGATAAATGCGGCTCCTTACTTACATTTCAACCTCCTACATAAATGAGTTTAGTTAATTAGACATAACCGAAAATAAAATTTTATAATTTTGGTATTACATAGTTATTTTAGATAGTTAGTCTTTTCTTAATAACCACATACAGTGCACACCAACAATTATTAATTATAATTTTTATTACATCAATACACTCATATACTACACATTCAGCCATAAAGGCTTTGAAAAGTATATCCCGTCACTTTCAGTAGTTAGGACTTATGCTTTTTGATAAAACAGTAGATGAAATGTTTTCCCAAAATACATACTTCCACAACTTAAATTCTTATCTGCTACATTTTCCTATGACTACATACGGGGAAGAAAACCACATTGTGAGGAAACCGTATCCTTGAAATCAAGCGCAGTGATCAATGCTCTCTTTCTCCGTATATAAAGAGTCCTTTGCCAGAAAATGTAGTAGTTAACACATATAAATCAATTTATCTTACATTTTGTCACATTTCTTCATACCATGTGCATAAACACTTCACATTCGACCGAGGTATAATGGTCAAATGGTCTACCCGTACAACATTTCACGCATTTTAATCCAAATACTTTCGCACCAGGCCCGAATAAGCAAAAAGAAGCGACCAAGCTTGGTGCATATGATCGGTTTGCAGAGACAGGATCAGATGAGCGCGCGGTCGAAGGCAGGCGCCAAATGGCTGTCCAAGGTCAAGAGGGGACAGGTTGTGCCGAAGGGTAAGTCAATATATTAATAATCTGGATAAACTCCAAATTTTACGTAAACTAGCAACCCGTCCGTGTTTAGTACCCTTATTCTTACTACTGTGCTACAACCACTAAAAGATACTTTCTATACTGTAAAAAACTTCTACTGACCATAACGAACACAACAAAAAAAGAATCCCTATATTGGTCCAAGCGTAGTTGATTTATGCGCCTACCAACACATTTTCAAGATTACATAATAGACTGACGTACTCTATACGTTACACGAGATCGAGGGAAAACGCATAAATATTAGGAATAAGTATAAGTATTATTAATTCTCATACCGTTACGTCTTTCCCTAAATATAATTATAATAAAAAAAATTAAGTTTCTCAACTCAAGGTCAAGTTTAAAATTCTCAACCAGTGTTCTTGAGGACTGTCTGTCATCTTTTTCAATTCAGTAGGCATATGACTTCTATATTATATTTATATATAAACCAATATTAATCCCCCTAAGTTTAATTTTTGATTAATAAAATAGTATGCCTTTTTTTTCAAATGTTAGTCAAACCATTAACATATATCCAGTTTAACTATCGGAATACAAATTAAAAAATTAAAAAGTAGACGCTTTTTAGACTGAGGGACGATTACAAAATGCGATGTTTTTTTATTTAAGCATTTAGGTATTTCGTAAAAATAAAACTTAATGTAGATCTTATAATAAGGTTAACTTTTAATTAAAAACCATATTTGTTACCAAATTTAGCCATGAACAGCTGGGCAAAATTTAATATTATTTTCTATGTTTTTTGTGGTTTAAGACCATTATTATTATATGTGAAACCTTCTCATCAAACAAAATACTGGCAGGCAAAGTGACTCATATAAGACTGATATGTTACATACATAAATATGAACATACTGGTAATAAAAAATAATATTCCCACATGTCTGTGTAGTAACTGCTTCGTGGTGGGTATCCCCACACGCAGGCACGAAGCGGTTCGCCTTTAGTGATATCGTTAGAACCGCTAAGGAGTAGAAATGTTTGCCGAAGTCTGTGTTATATAAACAAACAGGGTATCATTAAGGCCCCAAAGAATAGGTTTCTTATGGGTAGGTCGCATCACAAGGCGAGAAAACAGACAAACCAATTTATAAAAAAAATACTTCTACCATTTAGAATAATAATGTTAAATACTTTTCAGACTCAACGCGCCTCTCTGTGGTCCACCTCAGTCCTTTGGGCTCCCAGCTAAGCATCAGCAACACCACGAAGATCGAGAGCGTGGTTGACTGGGAGATCATTGCGAAGAAATACCGCGCTCTCATGAGGGACGAGCCGGAGGAACCAGCCATCAAGGAAAATGAGGAGGATTCCGCAGATAATGTTTCCGAGATCATCCCTAACAACATATCAGGCGCCCCGCCTTGAACGTTTAGGTGATTAGCTTTTGGGAATCAGTGTAAACATGTATAATATACATAGGCCGAAGTTTTCTTCTGTCGATAATGAAAATGGCTGATCAAAAAGAGCAAAGGCGTCTGAAATCAATGGTAGTAACTAAAAGCATCGTTACACGAATTTTGTAACTGAATAAGTTTGTAAATATTTCGATTCCGACTCGATTCAAGTTGAATCGATTTTTTATAAAGAAATGATTTAATCGAGCACCTAATGCAATCGGTTGAGTACCTGCCTGGGTTGCCCAGGTGGGTATAATGTGTACATACTTGTTTGGACCCTTTGAACCTAATGATTTTGACATATGAGGCCAACGCTGACCATTAACTTAAGTAATATCAAGTCATTAATTTAAGGTATGGATGAAATAATAATAACGTAGTATTTAAAGCGATGTATATAGATGTCATGATAAAACATATGAGGCTAATCCCAGTATTAAAGTTTCCAGCAGTATTAAAGTACAAACACAATTTTAACCTAACGTACAAATGTTCGGATCCATATCAAATCAACAGAAATGTAGTCAAAATGTACTTTGAAAATAAGGTGAAGTACTTCTTACGTGAATATGTAATATTTTTATACAAAATACCATAATTATATATCACTGGCAGTTACTTATTGGAGTAGAAAGTCGTCTTCATAACTCGAAATTTTATGTTTTCTGACATTTTATCTACTTCGAGTAGAGAACGGTGCTTACCGTTAACACCAAATTTAAAAAATATTTTTTGAGGGATGATTTTTCAATAGTCAGATAGATGTTATCAGAGGAATAAAATTGTTGCTTTCACTGTCTTATACAAACATTCTGACGCGACAGCATCACAAATATTCCCTAGATAACTTTTATCTAACCATTAAAAAATCAGTCCTATATATGGTCTACTTATTTTGTATTTATTTTGATACGTGTTCAAAATCCTACCTACTCCATGTAAAATTGTCTTCTTAACAAAACCTTAAAATTGCTTATTTGCATCGAAGTGACAAAATGGCGCCAGTGTCGTTAAAGGGATTATTGCAAGCGAGCGACAAACTATCTGCCATCTGAGAATAAAATAAAAATTACTGAACTATGTATTTAGTTAGTTTCAGAACAATAAAAACTACATTTCTGCATGTAGATTTAATTCTCATAATTCGATATAATAATACAATAATTCAATATAAACAGAAAAATCAATACGCACACTACGATAGCATTTAAAAAAAGAATGTCAAAGACACGATGTTTTATGATTACAACATGTAAGTTTGAATGTTGTTATTATTGTATTTTATTTAAATTAAACAAATTTGCATGATAGCTTTGCAGCATTTGGTTGATTGTGAGCGTCAAAAATTGGGTTTTTAACAACTAGGTCAAACTCGACACATTTTTTATAAATAGCCAAAATCGACAGTTTTGTTTGAGTATTGGATGAGGATTATGTTGTGGTGTACTGTTTTTACGTATCAAATATAAATTTATTTCTATTTCTAATTAACTAGAAAATCAACAACATCGAAATATTCGTACAATCGAATAATGGAAGAATGTTTTATATTTTTTATATTTTATTGCACTGAAAACAAGATCGCCAACATTATGTATTATTAAATAAAACAATATGAAGAAATATTGATCTTAAAAATACCTTGAGCTATTTGCATTTATAATAATCAGTAAGCGCAGTATGCACGTAAATTTTAAGTTTATATATGTAAAAGAAAAAGAGTATCATGATGATAAAAGATTATAAAAAACCGACCTTGGCAATTACAAATCAAAATTAAATGCCAATAATTTAATTTATTTTTGACTAAGTTCAGTACTAAGTTATGCTGTTTCATAAGATAGGTTTCGAAATAATTTTAACAACTGCATTTAGAAAGGTTTTAACTGTCACTAGTAACATATCAACTGAAGTTGCGGGTACAAGCACATTGATGTACCGCATCCCCAGCCAAGAGTTGGAGAAGGAACGGAGTACCTTTTAGTCAGTAAGAGTCTGACACTTCCTCTCGCCCTACTCAGGAGGGGCGGGAGAAGTCATTGGATAATTTACCCCCTTTCAAAAACAACCCTTAAAATAATATGACATTGATAAAAATGAATACTGTCTTACCCAATGATTAATAAATTAATCGATAATTAAATGATATATATATTAACAGATATGTCATAAGCCGTCAAAAGTGAAGACTCGAAAAGGATACAATTGTATGCAAGTGCAATTAGTCCCTCTTAGAATTATGTTTGTTTACGTTGAGTACGTAATTGATAACAATAGCTAATTCGTTTTTTTCTTGTTGGATGTATCATACTATTCTTTTTCTACAATTTTAACTTGTAGTAATATGTACAATTACTAAAAAGGTACCTATGTGAGCGTGCTGAAAATAAATCAAAAGTAATATTTTAAATGCGAAAGTATCTCTGTCAGTCTGTATTTTCTTACGCCTAAACTACTGAACTTATTCGTGTGAAATTTGGTACAGACATAGTTTGGAACTCGAGAAACGACATAGGATAGTTTTTAAACCAAAAATCTGCAGAAAGTCGCTTTTCTACGCGAACAAAGTCGCGGGCAAAAACCAGTAATAAAATATGTCGTAAAGTGAATACTGTCTTTTGTTCAAATGTTTCGGAAAATTAGAATCAACAATACAATATGACTTTGATAAAAAACATGAAGATTTACGATGATAGAGTAATTTACTCGTCTCGCTTGCAAAACGATCTCAATTCTCATTCATTGTAAAATAACTACATAAAGTATTTTCATCTGTAATGTTATGTGTATCTTAAAATAATGTTTGTAGAAAATTATTCGATAAGGACAGCGATGTTATTTTTTGTCTAGTAATAGGCTAATTTATTACCTATTACTAATTACTAATACTAATATTTTTATATAAATAAACGTGTTGTGTATTTGTGTAACTGTATTGTTTTGAAAAATAAAATCAGTGCAATTTTTAAACTGTTTATTTATTTTGTACACTAGTCAAAATTATTTCTAAGAAAAACCTGGACTGAACATACGTCTACTTTCGTAACATCAAAATTGAATAAGAGTCTGTAAGTCTGTTCGTCAGTGATTCTAAGGGCTCTGGAGTCTGGAGTGTAGTTTCGAATGGAGAAGAATGAGCAAGAACATAAATGAGACAAAATAATAAATACAGAGTATGCAAAGGCGATCTGATTGCACATGGCGATCTCTTACAAACCACCGTTAGCCGTAAAACAGAATCTAAGTGAGTTGTCTAGACTTCTAGAGCAACATTGTATACTTTTAGACCTTATAAAAATACAATACAAATAATATAGCTATAACTTGTGACGTATATTTTTTTTTTCTTTACTGTGTGGTATTAAATTTGGGAGAGCCATGCTGCGACTCGATCGGTGTGATACCACGGCCTCACAGAAAACCGACGTGAAATAACCACAGCGTTGTGTCTCGCTGTATGAGGGAGGTTACCTGGAGGCCCAATCCTTCCTATCCCCCAATCCCTCCTCAATCCCCAAATCTACAAATCCCTAATCCCTAAAAGATCGGCAACGCACTCGTTACTCCTCCGTTGCGGGTGTCCATGGGCGGCGCTGATTGCTTACCATCAGGTAATCCGTCTGCTCGTTTGCCGACCTATTACATAAAAAAAACAGTTTGCATATATACTTTTAACACTCCGTTTGAAAAGCCCACAAATATCCATTCGTCCAAAATTTTAAGTTCATTCGTTCTTAAAATATCGAAGTTTTGTAACAACACAGAAACAAACTAAGTAAATATATAAATGGAAATTAAATGAAAACACAGCGACGTAAAATTTGTATAAAGTCACACAATTATTATTGTATCCAATTATGTTTCTTTTCACAGAATTCACTTGGAACTACATATTATGCAATTTTGAATCTTATGGAAGTAACCGAACAGACAATATCAAGCGACTAACCGCATTTTTTTTTAATTTAGATATAAAAATAGGTAATAATAGAAGAAGAAAATATTTATAATAAAATCAATGAAATACAAATGTTGTATTTTTTATATTTTGATTGAATGAACTATGTACTTACTTACCTAATTCTGTATGATAACTTAAACATAAAGCACATGCAGTAAGTAGTTGAAAAAAAACTGTCTTGTTCCAAAAAATGGAGTCTTAAACTAAATATCTATTCAATTCACCTTTTTTTCTGTAATATTTTTTACTTTTTTTATAATAAATTAAGTAGATAACATTGTTTTTACATACGAATTGTTGAACAAACTTATTGACACAGCTGATTCCTGACGAATATATAAATACAGAGTGAACCTTTTTTGATTTTTTTTAAAGTTATTGCATCAGAGGTCTGTAACCATTATATATATTTAGATAAATGTGTGCGTTACTTCCACAATATGGTTGCAATGATATTTTATAACGTAATGTAGCAAGTAACGATTAGAACTTAATTAACAAATTAACTTATGACATGTTGTAAGCGCTGCTGGAGTCCAGGTCATTATCGCGTGGGCTGAGTCGTCATATGCTTAAAAATGACTTATAGTCGGCGGTGCTGAGTTATTCGGTTGCCAAAAAGTGGATAATCGGATCGGATGGCTGATTGCTGGAGCAGGCCGGTTCACTCAGCGTGTTGGTTCACTGACTCAGCAGAGTCTTCGATAAAAATGTAATGTAAATTAGATTGTATTATTGTAGATATTTAAATGTAACATATTATTTCTTCTATAAAATACTATAGTTATGTGCTCAGTTGTGGTATGTAAAATCCCTATTATTTAAATATGTAATTTTAGTAATCTTTACTGGATATTGTTTGACAAGGGCAAACGGACCCCGAGTCCGAGGAGATTGTAAATGATCAATTATAAAAAAAAACATTATATTTTTCTATAGAATAAGGCGACAAACGACCAGTAACATCAGTTAAGAAATCATCCGAGCTTAGCTCTCCCACACTTATACATTAGTTAGCCTTATAAAAGTACTAACTTGTTCTGCTGTACGTCGCGGTTGCCCTGGGGCTGAGGCTTCTTTTCATGCATCAGGATGTGGGTTAAAATCCTGGCAAGTACCAAAGATTTTTCCAACTTATATTACTTTCTATCTGAAAAAGATACCACTGACATACGGTGAAGGAAAACATCGTAAGGCCGTTACTCGGCAGGAGGCACTTACAGACTCATGATCTGATGATGTGATGTGATATTTTGATTTTATACAATACTAGCTACTCTCGCGCTGTTTCACCCGCTACTCGGCTCCATTTAATCGTAGCGTGATGTTTTATAGCCTATAGCACTCAGGAATATTGTAGCTATCTATCAGTGAAAGAATTTTGGCAATCCGACCAGCAGTTCCAAAGATACAAACTTACAAATTTTACCTCTTTATAATATTAGAATAGATAGAATGTTATAAAAAAACTTATTACAAGAAAATACTCTCAATACTCTAATCCGTGACAAAATTGCCTATTTGTGTTGTGTGGTGGTGCAAAGCATGCATATTAGCCACGAAATGTAGACGAGCGGAGTTGTTTAGAAGGCAGATACTGTCAATTTAACTCACACGAATTTAGTCATTAATTCATATAGATATATTTAATGGTCTAACAATTAACACTATGCCTACGGTTGAACATCTAATAAAAAACAAACACCCTGTACCTGTGAATAAATACAGAGTGACTTAACCTACATTGTTGACATAAGTTTGACATAAAAAGGAAAATATTTTGTAACGTATTCACTAGAAGAAGTTTTGGTGCCCGCAGTCGGAACAGTTTAATATCAGGTTTATTTTATAAAAAGTCATCAAAATGACTCTGAACATTTTGAGAACCGTTATAATATTTTTTGGTAAGTTTTATATATTTTTATTATTTACTAACTACTTTCGCGCTTTTACCAGTTGCTCGGTTCCATTTGATCGTAGCGTGATGTTTTATAGCACTCAGAAACATTGTAGCGGTTCCAAAGATTACCCCTACATACAAACTTACAAATTTTGCCTCTCAAACAGATGTTTGTAACATCTCTGTTTCTTCTAACTCTCCCATAATGGGCCTGCTGATTTGAGAAATGATTTCATAAATGATTTCAGAAAAAATAAGCTATGCCTCTGTACTGACTAACTGTTGTTTTATTGTTCTTGTCTAATTTATTGTGTACAATTATAGCCTTTACACCCGTCCGAAGCCAGGACCGGCTGCATCGCTTGTCTAGTAGTATAGGTATTTTGTTTTTATGCTGTCTTAATTTTATGAACTGAAAACAAATTCTTTATTATAGCCATTCTGCAGTGCACGCGAGCTTGGGGACTCAAAGGTTACAATAAGTAAGTGGAAAAAGATACACGTCTTCATTCAAATTCTACCTCGATTATGTCATAGAACATCGATAAAAAGGATAATAAGAGAAATTATATTCTTGCGCTTTCCTCACTCAAGTGGAGATGTAAAATTTAAAACTGTTATTGCAATTATAGTACTTGACAAAAGTATGAAAATTGTTGTATTACGTTTATATATAATTAAATTATTTCGTTACAGGACATTAAGCAACTCAATAGAAGTTAACTGGACTAATGCCACACAGCTCATTGATACAGGATATGTCAATTTAGAAAGGAAAATGGCTGTCTTTGCCTTTGGATTCAGGGGCAGCGAAACTACTCAAGACACAGATAAATTTATTGAAGCTGCGTTGAGCAACACTGATTGGTCTGTAGTACTTGTTAACTGGAAAGACGAAGCAGCTCCTGGAGGTACACCGGATTATTACGGAGCGGCTCGAAACACCCAAATCGTGAGTAAGAAACGTAAAGCACAAAAATGCAAATTTATAGCACTAACCGTATTTTTGTCGGGGGAAAATCATCAAACGGCTTCTCTCTTCCAAAAACCCAGCATTCCTTCTCCTTCTCTAGGCCTAGGCCGCGATGCCTCATTGCGCTTACCCCGCCTGAACATCAGCCCTATAGGGCCCCGACTGTAATGGTCTATTGACGCTTTAAAGCGCGCACGGGGTAGCCGGAGGCCCAATTCTTGCCCTTTCCCCATAGCCCCAGAATCTCTAAATATTGAAAAGGCTAGCAACGCAATGGGTGGCTCCGATATCTCACCAACGATTAAGCAGCAGATTTTTAATAGTCACATAAATTTTATCTAAGCAATAAAATTGTAGCTAGCACTGTCTTATACAACATTCTGACGACAGCATCAAAATTATTCTCCAGGTAACTTTTATCTTACCATTGAAAACCCAGCCCTTAAAGTAATTTTATTGTATTATTTTAGGTTGGCGCTCAATTAGGACAAGCTATAACATCCATGGTTGAAAGCGGCCTAGACCTTAACAATATAATATTGATTGGTATGTCTTTGGGTGCCCAGATATGTGGTAAAGCCGGTTCTACTGTTAAAGAAATATTGGGACAACAGTTACCATTGTATGTATACTATTTATTGCTTATATGTCACCTATATTGAAAATAGATGAGTTTTTAAAATAATTTATAATATAATAATTAATACTAATGCCTAATGTTTAAAAGGTAATCTGAAAATATCTAGTAATTGACGATTAGTTACAGTTTTACATCAAAGAATTTTTATTTTCATAAAAAGAATGCAAATTTAAAGAAAAAAATAAACCAAACTGATCACAGATTAGAAAATATTTATGATTAACATATTTAAATTTGGAATTGTTTGAACAAATTAAAAGTGGTGTATTTAATTTCTAATTTGGTAAGACTTACAGAAATAAGATATGAAAAAAAAAACTCTTTACTTAAAAATGTTATTGTTATTGTAAAAAAACTTAATTTTAAAGTATTTTTTTTGTGATTCTCATGTGGTAGACGTATCAATAAAATACAGAACTACAAGTCGAGGTATAGTTCTGACAACTAAATACCTAGTAGGAAGTGATAGAGTAACATGCGTATTTTAACGAATTAATATCTCCTTATCTTCACGATGGATTCATATTGTCTACATATCTAACATTACCAATACCGACAAATGCAGTAAGTGATCACAGATAACATTGTATATTTGTATATTAAATTTATTTCTGATTGCAGGATCATGGGTCTGGACGCAGCCAAGCCGCTATTTGAACCCATCGAAGTCTTTAGATGTATAAAATCAAGTGATGCTGCATGTGTGTTCCTACTGCACACAGATACTAACCGTTTTGGTGTGTCAGGCAGCTATGGAACACATAACTTTTTCGCTAATCGGGTATTCTATGCGTTGCACAGCTACCAACCCGGCTGTAACCCAATACCAACATCGTCAGATGCAATGTCTATGTTTCAAACTTATGATTTAACTACTGAATGTACGTATAAATGCATTGTTATTATTATGATATTGAAAATAACAGCTTCCTTACGTGAATTAAATGAAAAAAGTTCTACTAGTTTCAAGTCATACAAGATGACAATACAAGCTGACTCCAACGTTAGCTGCACGACTTCGCCGCGACATGCACGCTGCTTATGAATAAGAGTCCCGTGAATCGCGGCAGAGGGCGCGTTGGGCGCGCAGACTCGAGTTGCCAGCAGCGCGACAGTCGCCGACTCGCGTGTCGCGGAATGCTGCTCATGAATATGGGCCTCTAGCATGGCTTGAAACTAGTCGACTATCTTGTCAAATTATTACGTGAGTAAGCCGAAAACATAATAAACAAGAGTCCCGTTGCGACTTGAAACTGTAGAGCTTTTCTCGGTTAATTAACGTGAGAAACTCGTATTGTTAATAAATTCGTATAAATGCTTTAACATTTTTTTTAATACAATATATTAGTATTTTGTGAGCAAAGGAAAGTATTGCTTGCAGAATATTCTAATTCAACTTGTTAGACGGACAAACTAACAATGGCATTTAAGAGATGTGATTCGTTGAATTTGTTCCCAGTATTCTGCAGTCATCTTCGTGCACTGAAGTACTTGATTGAAGCCATTAAAACAAATTGCACGATGATAGGTAGAAAGGTTAGCAGCGGTACTCTCCCGTCGTTATCAGGGACAACAACATCAATCATTGCTTGTCTCGGTTTCAACATAAGCCAGAGGTGAGTTTTAAGTTTTACTTTTTATAACATAACTAGCTACTGTCGCGCAGTTTCACCCTCTGCTCTGCTCCTACAGATCGTAGCGTGAGGTTTTATAGCCTTCCTCGATAAATGGACTAACAAACAAAAGAAGAATTGTTCAATTTGAACCAGTAGTTCCGGTGATTAGCGCGTTCAAGCAAACAAACAAACTCATCAGCTTTATAACATTAAATAATAGATTCTGCATTTGGAAGTTTTTTTTATGTCATAGGTCGGTAAACGAACAGACGGATTTGATGGTAGGCGATAGGCGCCGCCCATGGAAATACGTACATACCAAAGGACACTACAATGCGTTGCCAGCCTTTTTTGGTTGTTAGGGACTTCCTGTTAGGGATTTGAGAATTGAGGGTGGGGGGATTGGACCTCCGGTAGCCTCACTCACTAGGCGAAACGCAATGTATACTATAGGTAATCCATACCCAATTAATGAATAGGAGTACCTACCTAGTACTACTTAGTGAGAGAAGTAACGGGTTGCACAGTGGGAGGCCATATTAATTTGACTGCACGGTTGGTGCGGTGGCTGGGCAACTGGCTGCCGTGCAACGTGTCGCGGGTTAGATTCCCGCACGGAACAACTCTTTGTGTGATTCACAAATTGTTGTTCCGGGTCTGGGTGTCTTGTGTGTGTGAAACTATATGTTTGTAACAGCACTCACGACACAGAAGAAAATCCAAAGTTTTTTTTTTAAAAAAAAGCAAAGCTTAACTGCAGCTCATCTTTCAAAAAAGACGGCAAAGTGTACAAGCCAATTATCCGTTCTTTGCATTCTCTTTTATAACACTGTAAGAAGACTGTCCCTAATAGTGCACAAATGCCAAAAAAAAAGATATTCCTATAATAACAATAGTAGGATAATGTGCGTTGCAGTTATTATGGTAATAGGTCCTTGTGTATAATAGATTTGAAACCAGAAAACATGTTTTTTTTGTTCAACAGTGAGGAAGGCGATTACGTTTTCCGGACCAATGCGGAGCCTACTTATGGAATGGGCTTAGATGGAGCAAGACCATAGATAATGTTGTGACAAAAATCATTTACTCTAACTTATCAAAATATTTTTCCAATTAATTGTTTTAATGGTAGGTATATACATATTTCTCTTTCTTGTAAGAGATATTTTTTTCCGACTAAAGATTGAGTTTCTTGCTCATTCTTCTCCATTCGAATCTTCACTGACGAACTGACTGACAGATTATATTTTGACTTTTCAAAAGTACCCGTTTATGGTTGTGTTAGAATAAATGATTTTTACTTTGACTTTGATCAAGTTAAATTGAGATGTACATAATGTGTATATATTTATTATATATAGATATAATTTAATGACCTAACTTTTTTAAATTTAGTTTATTAGATTTTTTTGTTTGTACTTACTTACATCTAGTTATTTAAATTTAAGTAATTAAATTTAAGCTTACTTTTGTTTATTTTTGTGATTGTACATTGTATGTTATGGTTTAATTGGCGTGTTAAAAAGGAGTACGCTCCGGTTCTTGAATGTTTGAAGTTTGTATCAAACTTACATATTGAAAGATAATTCCAAAGTTTTGCTGTGCGAGGCAGAAAGTTTCGCCAACACGGCACAGTTTATGACTGTCAACCATCTTTAAATATAATGGGGATGCAAGTATTTTCACACGAGTCGATAGCGAAAAGATGCAGTGGGGATCAAACCGAACACTTCCTTGTAGCACTTGACGTGGTATATGCGATAGAGAACACATAGCGAGGCTACATCTCTACGCAGTACCAAAGAGTCCAGCCGGTCTGTGGCAAAAGGACAGTCAAATATTCGAACGGCTCGTCGTTTGCGGTCAGAGGGAGATGCCGGTACTGGCGCGCCTTTTTACCTTACTCTTTCTACTAAAATACTTTGTACAAATGGGTAATATTAATTTATATGCATAAATAAATAAAAACGTGTGCTAATTAGTTACATGGTAGGGTATAATAAAATAATATGTTGTCACCAGTCATTCAATTTTACACCAAAATTATGATCATTATGTTAAGATATTATTTATCAAAAGTAAAAGAAACGTTAATCACATAAATGTATCGACCAAATAATGTTCAGAATATTTAGTCACCCAAGTACTGTATATTTGAATACATTATACAGTATGTTTTCTTAAATACCTTTAATATTGTAAATCTGCTTTTTTGAATTACCTATAAAAAAAGATAAACACACAAAAGTGAATTTTATTTCGTCAACTTGATATCTGAAGGTATTCTGAAGCAATTACCTTATCCAAAAAGATAAGTGGAATAGTTTTATTTTTATTTCCGAAAAAAACCGTTAACAATTAAAGGTACATAAAACTAATTTGAGTAAAGAATGTTCAGTTCCAACAAATCATGGAGATGACATTACGATAAAAAAAGATGTGTGGCACCACGGTGGCACTCACAACACTAGAGAATTCACACTCAGAAATCCCTTTATTGGAGAAAAATTACAACAACTTAGATGGTATTTTAGTAAGCAAAATTTTTTTTTTCTTTAGTCATCAAATGGCTATTCTTACCCTAGGTTGGTCAAGGAGTGTTAGACTCTTACCGGCTAAAAATACACTTAATTGCAGATACTTAGGAATAAATGTTTGCATCAAGCGACCCGTAAACCTTGTATACTACTGATAAAATAGAGCCAAGTACCTGATATTAAATGCCATTAAATTCTATTTAGTATTTATTACTGTTTTTATGATAAATTTAACGCCTAGATAAAATTAATTGATTTTTACAAAATAATTGTTCAATGACGGGAGTGTTTTCAAATGAACATGCACAGGATGGTTTTTCTTTTTTGTTTTGTTGTTACACGTAACTTAGAAATAATAAAATTTTCTTCCCAATTTAGAGGTACTTTATCACTATCACAGATAGCAATTTGAACATCGTGCAACATTTTAAAGTCTATGTTAGGTATTCATAAAAACTGAATATCGAAAATCGCAACAAAACTACTTATTATAACATACTTATCAGGGAATCAATCTTGAGCCCTCCGAGCGTATGGACCACAAGACCACCACCGACCAGGCCCAATAGAGGGCCTACCATGAAGTGTTAAAGCGTGAATCTTTCGGGCGAGAAAGAGGGATGGTGCTATAAAAGGTGTATAGCTCCATTCCTCTTTCTCGCCCGAAGAAGAAGGCCTACTGGGCTGGGTGCCGCTGCCTAGAGCAGGAGAAGGAACTTCCCTCTCACTCGTCCTGGGCGAGAGAAGTCATTTGATGAAATTTCCCCTCACAAAAAAACGCCCTAAATATTGTAGATTATTGTAGATGGGTACACTTCTTTAGACTGATTAATTTTATTAACAGTAGTATATCTATTGATACTTCCCCATATACATTCTGAGATCAAGGTCAACTCGGAAAAACTTTTTAGTCTAGGGTGTACGTAGAAATGCTAGATCCCAGTCATTTTCAATTTTGCCGCGTAAGTAAGCTGAATTTATTTATTACTTGCGACCCGCCCTGGCTTGACTCTGGTGCAATGCTGATATTCAATTTCTATTATGTTTAATGGATGTTATTAGACATATAAACCTTTCTCTTCAATCACTCACATCACATCATCAGCTTATAAGTGCCCACTGCTGAGCAAAGGCCTCGTCTCACACGGAGAAGGTGCATTAATCACCATGCTTGCTCAAGGCGGATTGTCGATTTCAACTTTAATTAGAAATTACAAGTCCAGGTTTCCGCACGATATTTTTCTTTGCCGTATGTCAGTGGTGTCTAAACAATCATATAAAGTACATACATATAACTCGGTAAAAGTCACATTGGTACTTGCTGGGTTTTAAAATCGATAAACCAATCTGTTTATTAAAAAAACTCGTGTCAAAATCCATTGCGTAGTTTCAAAGATTTCAGTGTACATAAAGATATAGGGACAGAGAAAGCGACTTTGTTTTATACAATGTAGTGAAGCCAGTTGGCGCTGTAATATACACCGTTATAAAATAAACGTAATAAATTGGTATTGATACTATCACTTGCTAATTTGTTCCCAAAGGTCACATAAGTCATTTTTGTCTGGAGGTCAAAACCTGTCTCTATAGGTATAGATTGACCAACGAGAAATAATCTACAAAATAATCAACTCGCGACATTGGACTATTTTATTTAATATTAGCTCTTAAAATATATATACATATTTTATTATCATTTATATTGTAACAAATACTGACTATCCATACTGACCCGTCATTTAACTTTACGTACAGAATTAATAAAATTTCTGACGATAAAAAAAAAACAAAAAAAATAAATAAATAGTTCATTTGATATATTAATTCAAATAGTCTTAAAATTACATTTAGAAATATTACTATACAATTCATAAATTAATTCCAATATAAGATTAATTCGTTGGTACCATAATATAGTACCTATACTTATTGTAACGTTAATTTGCCATGGTACATGATGATGCAACAATTAGAAATAGATTCTTGGATTTATTACATAGTTTGTTATTTATAAATTGACCTAATAAAAGTGTGTTAAAAAACAAAAAACCATCAACCTGTACCAAAAGATATCTTTGAATGAAAAAAGTGTGTTATCATTACCTACGTAAATATATAGCCAAATTAATTGTTTGTGTGTACCGAATTTCGGTATAAAAGAAAATGACGTACGAATAAGAGACATTTTTCATATTAATGAATAAAATTTAAGTATTTCTATGTTAGTAGTAGGTACTTATAGTAGCTAAGTAAGTACTCGCGATCGTGCAAAACCGATTCCGCTAAAATGTTTCATTATATTTGGAAAGTGGCAATATTCTTCTCTGGTAAGTTTTTTTTTAACTTATCTTGTTTTTCAATAGTGACTATTGTGGTTCTTATAAAATTGTCAAATTTACTGAGAAGTGCTCAACTACTTTCAAGTTACCTCGGGACTCTTATTCATGAACAGCGTACGCGTTGCAGAAAAAAATATATAATAAAAAGTTCCCGACGAATTGAGAACCTCCTACTTTTTTGAAGTCGGTTAAGAAAGGTAGTAGAGTTTTTATCAGTAAGTGCGTGTGAGTAAGATTTGAAGTTAGAAGCAGGAGTTGAAACGGAGTGGTTTTCAGTCAGTAAGAGACAACACCCTTTTGTCTCATACAGAATTAGAGAAATTATTCCATTATATATCCCCTTTAAAGAATACCTATTTAGTATGATTTTCCTTCGATATTTCATAATTTACCTTCCTAGAGCGCTTTTGCTCCTCTTTTTCCACTTTTTTCAAAGAAATCAAATAGCTTTATTTGAATGTTTATATTTAACTAAAACACGGTTATCATTTTTCAGTTATTTTACAATTATCTCGAGCTTGGACTTTTAAAGGTTATAAAGGGTAAGTACAACTTCATTAAAATCAATCCTACTATATCACGTAATCTTATGAATCTTTATAAAATAGTTTTAAAAGTTTTCTGCCAAGTAGTTGCTAGGAGCGTTTACCCGGCTCCCAAAAGAACCATCATAAGAAATCACAATATCAATATTAATGAAATTTATTATTAAATATAAACAGCTATTGCTACTCAGTTTCATTGTTTTTAATGTGGTAAAACGGCAAACGAGCTGACGGGTCAGCCGATGCAAAACGAGTGTGTAGCGTTATTAAGGGATGAAGAGAGGGGAAGTAATTCCAAAAGCGCTTTGCAGCATATATCTCGGTGCACCTCGGGTATACGAGGCTTGCCTGTAGCTTATTCCATATTAGAGACCTATATAAGGTTGAGAAATATTGGCAAAATAATTAAATTTCAATAGATCCCGTCGCATGTAGGTCTGGTAGGAAATGAAATAGTAGGTAGATAGGTTAGCAAAAGCAGGAATATATGAAGGAATATCTGTTAGCTATTTACCCTTCTTCACGGATATCCTAACAGACGTCAGACATACATATTACAAAGTGTGGAAAGAATATTTTGACAAACGATCTGAAGAGAAGGGTATATGGTACAAAACTATACAATCCGAGCCACCTAAGATTCCTTGGTTTACTGAGGTGAAGATGAACAGACAATTGTTGGTTACATGCTTACGTTTGCGAACCGGGCACATTCCAATGAATGCGTTTGGACATCTTATGAAAGTTACTAACTCTCCTAACTGTCTGACTTGCAATTTAAGAGAAGATGTCTACCATGCTTTGGTGGAATGTGCTCGGATTGGCGTAGACCGGAGAGAGTTAGAATACAAATACAGCATAAATTTAAGAGATGTTGGTATGTGTAACATTATTCTGTCTAAACCAACATCCAAATTAGATTTTAAGATATGTTGTCTAATTGTTAAATTAATTAAGTTAAGATCTTAGTTATTAATTATTTTTGTTATCATTATTATTACTTTTTCTATGGGGCTGGCATCATCGCTTTGCGATTAAAGCCCTTTATCAATAAAGAATAAAAAAAAAAGAGAGGGGAAGAATTGGGCCTCCAACCACAAGGCAAAACCCAACGCTGTAGCTGTTTCATGTTTTCTCTGGTGTATTTGTGAACTTGTAGAACTTTTATACTTATATATTTTTTTAATGAAAGGATGGAGTTTCCTTCTCATTCTTCTCCATTAGAATTTAAACTTTGGAATTAGCACCTAGCTTCCTTCATTAAAGAACAGACTGACAGACTATTATTCCACTTTGACGTTCCAAAAGTACCTGTTTAGATGGGATAAATGATTTTGACTGAGCTGACCCATTCGTGCCGAAGCATGGCTCTCCTATAGGCACTACAGACACAACAGCTTAAAGAGAAAAAGTTGTTCGATCTTGTATGATAGACCATTGCACCGCTATATTTTGTTACAGGTCGTTGAACAATTCGATAGAAGTTAGCTGGACTAATGGCACACAGCTCATCGATGACGGATATATTAATGTAGAAAGCAAAACAGTTTTCTATGCCTTTGGCTTCTTGGGTGCCGAAGACGTTCAAGACACAGACAAATTTATCGAAGCTACCTTAAGTAATACTAATTGGTCTATAGTTCTTGTTAATTGGGAGGAAGAAGCTTCCCCCGGTGGTTTGCCGGATTATTTCGGAGCAGCTCGAAACAGTCAAACCGTTAGTTATTTTTATAATATTATAATTAAAACGTACTGCATTTCTTTTATAAACCAGTATTCATACAGCAGGAGCATCAGAAATAGCTCCTTGACTTGTATTTAAATGGTGTAAATATATGCGTAACCAGCTACTCTCGCGCGGTTTCAGCTGCTCAGCTCCATTTGATCGTAGCGTGATGTTTTATAGCCAGAAACATTGTAGCTATCTATCAGTGAAAAAATTTTGGCAATCCGACCAGCGGTTCCAAAGATTACCCCCTACATACATACTTACAAATTTTACCTCTTTATAATATTAGTATATATGTTTTTCGTACGCCCGACGCGCCTCGTGTCTCTACATGAGATCTGATAAATACTATATAGATTTGTTTAAACTTATAACAAACGTCGTGGTGGCCCGGAGGTTCCGAAGGGGAGGGTTTGAAACTTGGCAAGTACCAATGCGACTTTTTCCGAGTTATACATAGGTACGTGATTTCTATGATTATTTAAACACCACTGGCATACGGTAAAGGAAAAATTAATTATAAGTTTGAAATCGCCAATATGCCTTGAGCAAGCGTGGTGATTAATGCTTCAACCTTCTCCGTGTGAACAGTGGCCTTTGCTTAGCAGTGGGCACTTATATTACGTGGGATGTTAAAACTTAATTACAGTATGTCATGTAATTTTTCACGACAGAGTTGTTGTAATATTTCAGATTGGTCCGGAGTTGGGACAAGCTATATCCACGATGCTGGAAAACGGCCTACTCCTTAATAACACAATTTTAGTCGGATTCTCTTTGGGCGCACAGATGTGTGGTAGAGCCGGCGAAACTATTAAAAATATCACTGGACAACCATTACCACTGTATGTATTGTGATTTTTGTGAAACTCATCTGGTATCATTTTATTAGTTACTAGCTACTCTCGCGCGGTTTCACCCGCTGCTGCCGAAATGCTACTCGTTTTATAGCCTATAGCACTCAGGAATATTGTAGCTATCTATCAGTGAAGGAATTTTGGCAATTCGACCAGCGGTTCCAAAGATTACTCCCTACATACATACCTCTTTACGAGTATAATATTAGTAAAGATACTTATAGAAAAAAAGCAAATTCTTATTAAATTTATACATAACAAGCAGTTTACTGAGACAATAATGGACTTTACATTATTTCAGATTGTTAATATACTATGTTGTCTATTTCGTTTTTGTTTGTTTAGGCTTTTTAGACTATTTTGTGCCACTTGTCTTTTCATGCTTCCAATTGTTCCGACAAGGTTAACAAACGTTTGAATTTACAATTTTTATTGTTATAAGTAGGCTTAATTTAATATATGTCATTTTACCTCATTTTAAATCATTTTAAACTTCATCTGTCGGTCGGTGAATTATTTTAAATGTATTGTTCATTTATCTGTCGGTAAATTATTTTAAATTATATTGTTTTATTTCAGGATCGTAGCTTTAGACGCTGCCAAGCCCCTATTCGAGCCTTTCGAAATCTTTAGATGTATAAAATCAACCGATGCCACTCGTGTAGTTCTCGTTCACACAGATAAGTCAACATTTGGTGTGTCAGGCAGCTATGGAACACATGACTTCTTCGCCAATGATCCATACTATACGGAACGTGGCCACCAACCAGGGTGCAGCTTAGTCAACACATTGTTAAATCCAATCTTTTTATTGCAAAACTTTGATTTCTTTCGGATAAGTATGTACAAACATTATAGGTACCTACTTAATTGTATTTATCAAAATTCGTTAAGTTTAACGTTAATATTGGCCTTATTTTTAAATAAAGAATAGAAGCAAAGTTTAAAGCAAAGGTCAACAACATTCAAGTTCGAAATTCAAATACAAACAACAACAGCTTCTTACATAGCATTGCGCTTTTGGGTTTTTTTTTTAATTTAATAAATAAATTTAAATTCTTAAATATTTCCATATTTTTTTTTGTTTCCAGTATTTTGCAGTCACCTCCGAGCAGTGCAGTTCTGGATAGAAAACATTATAAATAACTGTACAATTATTGGAAATCTAGCCAGTAGCGCAGAAGCCTGGGTGCTTTCAAATGGAACGCCAAACAACCTTACTTGTCTTGGTTACAACGTTAGCCAGAGGTTAGTTATGAAAAAGCTGCTACTCTTTATAGGACATCATTCACTTTTAAATAGGTGAACAGGTAGATAGGTTAGCTGCCCAACTAATAACGGACTCAAAGAACCAACAGACCAGCGCAGATAGGGCCCAGTAGGGCAATATGTCCAGAGTGGTTTTAGTCATACATAATTATTGTGCGATATTATTATGATATTATTTAGTTTAGATAATATTCTGGTTTGACACAAACATAATTGAAATAGCCAATAAGTATTTTAAAAAGTACACAACTCTTTGTGCATATGGATTAACAAACTAAATAATTTTTGTTTTGTTTTATAGTGCCAATGGAAACTACTATTTCCGTACCAATGCAGAGTCTCCATATGGATTAGGTATAAATGGAACAAGACCTTAACTCATATTATAAAAATAGAAAAAAAGTATGGACATAATGCCAATTTGTTTTATTTTCTTTAGTTGTTTAAGTACTTTTTAGTATCTTTCTGTGTGTGTGTATTATGATTTGTTTAACTTTAGGTACCTACTACCTAATTTCATTGGTATTAAGTTGTATTTGTTTTAATAAATACTAAATTATTGCAACTTAACAATACATTGTTTTTCAATTGATTGATTTTATGAATACTAACACAACTTGCTTCGCTTCGCTGATAACCCCGGTAAATAAGGAGTTACTGACATTACCAAAAATGTGAATATATTGGTACGTTTACGCTATTTCATTAGAAGAGCCATGCTGCGGCACGAATAGGTCGGCTCGACCGGAGTGATACCACGGCCTTACAGAAAACCGGCGTGAAATAACCAAAGAGTTGTGTTTCGCCGTGTGAGTGAGGTTACCGAATTCCCAATATCCTTCCCCTACCCCAATCCGTTACCGAAGGCCCAACCCTCCCCCTACCCCAATCCGTTCCCTTTCCTAAAATCTCCAAATCCCTAAGCCCCAAAAGGTCGACAACGCACTCGTAACTCCTCCGTCGTTGCGGGTGTCCATGGGCGACGCTGATTGCTTACCATCAGGTAATCCGTTTGGTCGTTTGCCGAGCAATAACATGAAAAAGCAGTGTATGTTTATAAATTAATGATGTAAAGTGCCTACTTAAATTGACTCATAAATAATTAGAAGTCTGAACTAAAAGTAGCTCAGTAGCAACATCTATTCAAGTAAGTAAAGACAGATTATCTAGCTATGTAGGGGTGACTTCTCATGGATGGGCAGATTATCGAAAAACCCTAGAAGAGCTCAAGACTAGACTATCTTCGGTAATACGACCCATTCGGATTGGGCATGTCTGCCAACTCGTAGTAGCTTGCTTCAAAACCAGATTTACGTTCGTAGCTCCTAAAATCTGCAAACCAAAGTGGCAATAGGTGCTCCACATCGCTCGAAAGACAAACAGCATGTGCCACAATGGTGTTCGAGTGGCGACCACGGACCGAAAGACGTTTGAACGAGGCTTCCGGTGACTGGGACCACAAAAACTCGGACAGTGGTCCCAAAATGTACCACAAAATATAATGTACAGATATAAGGGTATTAGGAATTTCTAAACTTTTTAACATATCTATATCATAATCTTTTATATTTAATAGTCTTGTTATGCTAGTTCAATATTGTAAAAATGTATGATATAAGTTGATAGTAGCGAATTAGTTTGTTTTAAATCGTGTTAGTTCGAAAGTAAACAGTATTTTTTATTTACTATCCTAATAGTATCCTAGAAATCAGTACCTAATAGGGTTTTTTCATGTGATAAGTCGGCAAACGAGCAGACGGATTACCTGATGGTAAGCAATCAGCGCCGCCCATGTAAATTCGCAACAACAAAAGAGTAACAAGTGCGTTGCCAACCTTATGGCGATTTAGATAATTAGGGATTGGGAAGGGGAAGGAGTGTGCCTACGGTAACCTCACTCACACGTCGAAACATAACGCTGCGGTTATTTCAAGCTGGTTTTCTGTGAAACCGTAGTATCACTCTGATCGAGCCGACCCATTCGTGCCAAAGCATGGCTCTTCCACACTTCAAATAATTAATAATCAGGGATAATTCTTCAAATGAAATCGTTTTCAGTTACAATAGTATTACAATATAATTCATCTATACAATCCTACTAATACTAAATGTGAAAGTTTGTGATAAAGTATGGATGTTTGTTTCATATTATTTCACGCAAAAACGCAGGACGTACCGATTTAGTTGAAATTTCGTATGAAGGTAGGTAAATACCCTGGACTGTGGTACATAAGCTGTTTTTTATCTACCACGGGTGCAAACCCGCGGGCTAAGAAGTTAGTAATAAATAATCTATAAGGGTTCCTAACACGTGCATGTAATGATACCTATTCCTATATGTATAATAACAGCACATCTATACTAATATTAAAAAAGGGGTAAAATTTGCAAGTTTGTAATTTGTATGTTTGTAAGTTTGTATGTCGGGGGTAATCTTTGGAACCGCTGGTCGGATTGCCAAAATTCTTTCACTGATTATAGGTACAGTGTTCATGAGTGCTATAGGCTATAAAACAATCACGCTACGAATAAATGGAGCCGAGCAACGGGTGAAACCGCGCGAGAGTAGCTAGTATAAAAATAATTTGATGCAAAAACTGTGACTGTGTCACTGTCACAGTTGAGTAGGAAAATTGCAAATTTATATTTTTTGACATTTGGAAAAAGTATACAAATTGACCAACTGTTATAATCCCTATTATTAATCTTAGAGTAATGAGGCATATAAATGTATGCAGGTACTATGCACTAAATTCCTTCCATTGTTCTTACATTAAGATTTATAATAACCCATCTTTTGAATCAGCGTTCGGTAACGAAACGTCGTAAGTTCGCTGATATTTGATTCGTAACACAATCCGTATTCCGTAAGGAATGAGGATCAGTTTACTCTATTGAACATTTGTTAAAAAATACATGTTCTTCAGCCACATGATACTGATTTATTACTAGTTATTCAATGCACAGAACGTTCGTTATAATGTCACATATTCCTAATTAACAACTTCATTTTACGGCAAATATTGCTCACATCATTTCAGATATGTAAATAGGAGCATTTTCCATATGATTCCAGTCTTCATGGCACTGCTGCCCTAGTAGCACAATCATTATTTTACTGAGTGTAACCAAAGTGATTTTAAATCCTTATTCTCGAAGGAAGTTTGCGTCGCCATCGCTATGTATATGTCTGAAACTTTTATATTACTTTTAAGTAAGTGGTATTTTTTTAATAATAATAATTTGTTTTTCAATTTTGACGAAATATCTAATCGGAAGTTTGTTTTTATGAGTTTTGGACTCTTACTGACTGAAACCCCGTTTGCGTCTTCATACTACTAATATTTCCAGCCGTACAGAATCGTACAATATCAATGTGTAGCGCAGTTTCTTTTGGGCCATGGCAACGTTAAGAGCAAATTATTTTCATTTAAACTTGTTGACTCCCCATGGTGGCAATGTTCAACAGCGGAACTGCAATACGCACTGCAGTCTGGCAATGCAAACGTAACAATATGTTCGGTAATTTTAATGACTTTCAAAAATCGATGTGTTTAAGCTTTTTTGCCATACCTATTACTGGAAACAAGCATAGCAGCTCATAAGTGGATCCCATTACAATTACAATATCTGTCGTGGTGTTGGGTGACTGGGTTTCTCCCAGTTGTAAAGACTAAACCGCTGACTTAATGCTCAAGTTATTTTTCCGCGTGCCCAAGAGCCAATAGACTACTTCTTACGGAGCCCTACATGGTCGATATTCAGCCGATAGGAGATAGGGGGGCAGGAAGCAAGGCCTCGGCCTAGAGCAGGAGAAGGAACGGGGTGGGCGTTTAGCCAGAAAGAGTCTAACACTCCCTCTCACCTCAACATAAGCGACAGAAGTCATTTGATGATTTTCCTCTTAAAAAACAAAAAAAGGTTTGGGACATGGAAACTATTTAGTTGTTTCTTCGAATAATGTCTTCTGATTTATTTCGTTCCGGGTCCCAAAACAACCATTCATGTTCCTGGGACGCGGTTTTTCCTATAAAAAATATGGAGTGGAGAATTACATCCAACAATTTTATTACAAGTTCTGGGGGTGAAATTGCTTACCTAGTTAGATTTTTTAAATTAACTGTGTAAATAAAGGTCTGTCATCCAGTTACTAGTAAATTTGTTTGCATATTTGTATTGCTTAGTCTATGGAACTACAAAAAGAATCTTTCACGATCGATATCAGAATCGAAGCAGGACTATTATTACTGTTTTGTTTATTGTTGTGAAGAAATAATATATCATTTTATTGCTTTTTTCAGCCGTTCTACAGTTTACGGGCGCTTGGTATATGTTTTTGTACAATGGGTAGGTACAACCCAATTAGTTTCATCTCGATACTGACCAATGAGTCTTAGGTAACGTCGTGGTGGCCCGGAGGTTAAGGTGCCCGCTTCTCATGCATGAGGGTGCGGGTTCGAAACCTGGCAAGTACCAATGTGACTTTTTCCGGGTTATATGTACTTTCTATGACTATTTAGACACCACTGACATACGGTGAAGGTAAACATCGTGAGGAAACCTGGACTTATAATTACTAATTATAAGTTTGAAATCGCCAACCCGCATTGAGCAAGCGTGGTGATTAATGCTCAAAACCTTCTCCGTGTGAGAAGAGGCCTTTGCTCAGCAGTGGGTACTTATAGGCTTATTGATGTGATGTGTGATGTGAGTCTTAGGCATTAATATCAAGTTTCTGCTAATACATCTAGACTGCAGTCATCGCCGTTTAATTTATGCTGGTTTTTCGGGCACGAACAAAAGTAGATTCTTACGATAGTTATTATAAACACAAAAGCAGATTCCCTTTTGTGCGCGTGCCCAGTGAGTCAGGGCTCACTATCACTGATCATTTACATACATCACGTCATTTCGTTGCCTTTATACAAAAGTCAGTTGGAATACGAAAGAATGTATAGTAAATAAAACTTCATTTTCATTGTCATCTGTTCAAAAATACCTGTTGTCATGGCATAGTTTGGCAAAGGAGCAGATGGACGGACGAACGCCGCTCACTGGCAAGACACACTCGTTATTCTAAAGGACTTTCTACTAGTGCGTTTTTTTGATCATTTACAATCTCCACGGACTCGGGGTCCGTGCCTTTGTCAAACAATATCCAGTAAAAAATACTAAAATTACATATTTAAATAATACGGATTTTACATACTACAACTAGCCACATAACTATAGTATTTTATAAAAGAAATAACATGTTAAGTACATTTAAATATCTACAATAATACAATCTAATTTACATTACATTTTTATCGGAGGCTCTGCTGAGTCAGCCCACCAACATGCTGGGTGAGCCGGCCTGCTCTACTAGTCCGTTGCAGGCCTCTTGTTGGTTAATAGGGATTTAAGGATTGCGGGTGGAGGAACGGGCAAGGATTGGGCCTCCGGTAACCTCACTCACACGGCGAAACACAAAACACAACGCTGTGGTTGTTTCACGCCGATTTTCTGTGAGGTCGTGGTATCACTCCGCTTGAGCCGAAACATTCATGCCGAAGCATAGCTCTCCGAGACAAAAACTTGTTTGCAGCATATGTAGCTCAGTTAATGCTGCTATTATAAAAATAACAAGTACCCAATTGCAAGATCAAACATTTTGTGAGGTAAATATCCTAGTAAGTTTTTATTTATTTATGTTACAGGCTACTGGTCAAATTCATAGTAATAAACAGGGAAAATGCCAGTTCTCTCATAGAAAACATAAATCCGAATCAATGCACTTACTTCCTATTTCATGGATTCACTGGTAATAGAAATATGCATGGCATACCTGAGATAGCCGCTGCTTACCTAAAATATACTTATTGCCACATAATAGCTGTTGATTGGTCAAGTGAAGCTTATAACAACAATACAATACCAAATTATTACAAAGCTGCTGAAAATAGTCAAACCGTAAGTATTATCTATGTATTTGCTAAAGACTATGCTACTATATACCATTTTACTTATTAACTGAAACAAATCATGCAAGCCTAAGAATGACTTAGAATGGATAATATATTAACGGAAAAATATACAAAAGGTTAGTCAATTGTGTAAATAACTATGCATTAGTGATGTGTTAACACTAAGAAAACATATATCGCCCATACAAGACATACGTACACGCACAATTAATCACGTGAATTTAGTGAAACAATAACGAATTGGCCGCGAACTCTCGCGCCCAGCCTTAGTCGAGGCCGAGTGCATAGCGAAAGGAACTGGGAAGACGTCTCCTCTTTCTGGGAAGCAGTTATGCTCGCAAAGAAGGAGGCGGACCGCGTGAGGGCACCTTACACCCCAGCCGCCGCTGTAAGTGACACCCTGGGCGTCAGGGATCAGGACGTCGAGTAATGGTAGCTCGCCAACCGACCGGAACCAGTCCCGAGCGGACGGCGCATAGCGTTCCTCGCGCGCCTCAAAGAGCAAACCACCACAGACGGGGTCCTATAGGGATGATGTTTAGCTGGGGTTGCGGAAGGAACATCTCGCCTCACCCTGGGTGGGAGAAGTCATTTGCTGATTTTCCCCTGACAAAAAAACACTGCTTGCGAATAAGAGTCCCGGTTTGACTTGATTCAGTTTCAGAAATTATATGAAACAATGAGTTTATTTTTGCAAATAGGCCATAACGGAACTTTTACACGTCAATTTGTATGTGAAAAACAAGATGAAGCCGGCATTTCCTATCTGACTACTCTGAGAAGAAATGCCGAAACAAACTCAGAGTTTAGTCTCTTTTCAAGTCTATCTATCTTTTCAAAATATTGTCCATTCACGTCAATACACTGCTGCATGCGATGGAACCGCTGGGGAAAGCACTTTGTCCACTCGTCCTTAGGGGTCACTTTAATGGCATCGCGATACGCAGCCACCGCTTTTTTAGCATTCATAAACCGCTTTCCTTTAATGTTTTGAAAAGGATTGAAAAGGATTGTGGACGAGGCGCGAGGTCGGGGCTATAGACCGGTGACCCAGTAACAACGTTTGATGTCGCCAAATAAATAGTCAATCGTCCGCGTGGCGAAGTGCGACGAGGCGTTGTCGTGGTGAAGGAGGATCCTACTGCGAAGTCGTTTCTTTCGAACTTTTTTCAAGACAAGTGGCAAACAATTGGTAGTGTACCATTCTGCAGAAACTTTTTTTGATCCTCTAACACAATTGTTGCGAAATGAGCTATCCTTCCAAAGAACGAGGCCACCATTTTTTCCCTCACTTTGATCTCTCTTCACTTTAGTTGGCAACTCCTCGAAAGAAAATACCCATTGAGCAGATTGTCTTTTGGTTTCAGGATCATAACAGTAAATCCAGCTTTCGTCACCTGTTAGTATAGTATGTCGAACACAGCATTTGATTCACCTCCGTTAAATGGATGGAGTTTTTGAGCCTCAGTCAAATTATGAGGTATCCACCGGGCGCAAAGCTTCCTGGCTGCTAAATGTTCGTGGAGGATTTTGTGCACTTGACTCATACCGATGCCTAAGCTTGTCCGAATCTGCTGATAGGTCACTCTTTTGTCAGTCTCTTTCATATGCCGCACAACACAGATGTTAACTTCAGTCGTCGCCGTAGAAGGCCGTCCCTCGCGTAAATCATTAGTGAGGTTAGTGCGACCACGTTTAAATTCATTAAACCAGTTGTAAACAGTCGCACGAGAAGGGGCTTCATCGTGAAAGGCGAATCGTAATCTGTCATAACTTTCTTGTGGACTTAAATGACATCAAAAGTCATAAAAAATCATTGCACGAAAATTTTGTTTGTTCGTGTGGAATAGTGACATGCTGCAGATTTTTCGTTTAAAAACTATTCTATGTCTTTCTGGAGTTCGAAACTATGTCTGTACCAAATGTCACACAAATAGGTTCAATAGTTTAGGCGTGAAGAAAAGGCAGACAGACAGACAGACAGAGTTACTTTCGCATTTATAATATTAGTTTAGATTTAAATTTAATGGTAATGATAATTATGTATCTAATTAGTAATAATAATAATGGCCTTCATTTCACACAAAATGTATACAAATTTTTTATTAGAAAAATTTTACTTTTATACTTCTACTATGGATGTTTTATGTCTTGGTGGTACTTTTTGGCAACGTAGGTATGTGACATGTTGCTGAGCTTTCTACACTTCCGGGACTAATGCTGCAGGAAGCACTGCTAATGCACAGTTTGTTCATTCGCTTATTCAGTATACCTTAAGGACGAAAATCAACAAGTGGTTTCTCTGGCCCTGGGCGGGGCGATTTTCGTAATGTCTAAGTGCGGGAACGTGGCACATAAATATCCTTCTCAGCGACTAGATCAATCCCTAAAAGGTCGGCAACGCACTCGTAACTACTCTGTTTTTGCGGGTGTTCATGGGCGGCGCTGATTGCTTACCATCAGGTAATCCGTCTGCACGTTTGCCGACCTATTACATATACAAAAGAGAAGAGAGAGAGAAGAGAGAGGGGAGAAGAGAGAAGAGAGAAGAGAGAAGAGAGAAGAGAGAAGAGAGAAGAGAGAAGAGAGAAGAGAGAAGAGAGAAGAGAGAAGAGAGAAGAGAGAAGAGAGAAGAGAGAAGAGAGAAGAGAGAAGAGAGAAGAGAGAAGAGAGAAGAGAGAAGAGAGAAGAGAGAAGAGAGAGAGAAGAGAGAAGAGAGAAGAGAGAAGAGAGAAGAGAGAAGAGAGAAGGGAGAAGAGAGAAGAGAGAAGAGAGAAGAGAGAAGAGAGAAGAGAGAAGAGAGAAGAGAGAAGAGAGAAGAGAGAAGAGAGAAGAGAGAAGAGAGAAGAGAGAAGAGAGAAGAGAGAATATTAAAATATTCGTTAGAGGTTGTAGGTCTCATACATTAGCCAGTTACGAGCTAAGCAACATTATTAAAATTACAGACAAAATATATAGAAATAATTATAACTAGTAGTAATCAAAATAAAAAAATAAAAAAAATTATTTATTTATTTATTTATTTATTTATTTGGACAATCAGTAGTTGTTACATTAATACTTAACTTAACTTAATATTATTTTAAAATAATACATAAATGCACAACATTTTAAGATGTCACAGCATGCATCATAAGGTAACACTGGTTTTATAATACCCATTCAGTAATTTAAAAAAAAATTGATAAGTATGGTCTAACATTTATAAATTAAGAATTGTGTTACATTAATGTATTATGGAATGGTTATTTAGTTTTAGTGTAGTTACGATAATAGATAGGGACCTAAGTATGTTTTTTTTTAATGAGTATTATATAACAGTAATGTGTTTGTTTTTTAAGAAGGTATTTTTTTTAGGTCGGTGAGCAATTTGGTTTTACCCTAGCAAAGTTTCATGAACAAGGCCTAAACCTCGGTAACTGTACACTGGTATGTATTTCGTTAAGTGCACATCTATGTGGCAAAGCCGGCGCGGTTTTAACAGTGTTGACTAATGAGAAAGTATATAGGTAAGTATAAAATTTTATCAACACTTTACACTTTAAAATAATTTATATTATAATAATGTTCATAAGTAGGTACCTTATTTCGATAGTAGCCAGCAGAATAAAAGTAACTTACTCCAATAAGATTCAGTTCAACCGAATACTTCAAAAAAATTTTGTTGATTTTATTCGATATTATAACTTTATGTCTATTCGTCGTTTAGATACGAACTGATTTGGATGATTCTTTTTATGTTCAAAGCTTACACTTTTACATTGGTCTCACTGACATTAGCGTTATGTGTGTGTGTGTGTGTGTTACAACATCTTTTATTATTATTGATGACTTTTACATCCATGTAATTCATAAGTATTGTCATGTTTCTGTGTGAATAAAACTTAAAATAAGAAAGAAAACTAAAAAGCTTCGTTTACAAAGCCAACTTCAAAACTAAAAATCAAAAAGTATCTTTTCGCATAATGCGTGTCAAGACCAAAACAAAATGTCTAAGTAATAACGAAACGAAAGAATCTTCATTTTCTGTTCTGTGTAAAGAATAATAAAATAGTTAAAAAATGTTCAGAGTTTGTGGCATTGACGTCCAATCTGTCAGTAACCAAGTAGGTAAATACGCTTCCAATTTCGGTTTTATTTTCATTCGATTTTCAACCTTATACCAAAACTATGAGAATATCGTGAAAATTATTTGATCCCTATTGTCGGTTCCTTATTGTCATCAAGCTTGTTTATTATGTTATTAGTACATAATAATTATTTTTTCTTCTTTTTTTAAATAATTAAGTTGTCTGTATAAGAACGCTGTGTGTACGATACTTAAATAAATTTGACAGGCACGAGTAAGGTAACCTGCTGAGCACTGTAAATAACTTGTTTTAATCAAGTCAGGACGATACCTAAACATTATTATATTAAAAATTGTAACTGTCTTTATCTTGGAAACCTAACATGCCTATGATTACAGGATTGTAGTTCTTGACGGAGCAAAACCTTTTTTCGAACCGGAAACGTTCAGACGTATAAAAAGCAGTGATGCGTTGGTAGTTCTGCAGCTTAAGACAGACATGTTCCGTTTCGGTTTGCTGGGCAATTACGGAACTCACAATTACGAAGCCGAACCTATATACTATTCGGTATTTTCAACCCAACCAGGATGTGGAAGCTTATCTGAATTAGTAGTCGATATAGTGGCTACGTTTGAAAAATATGCTCATGATTTTCTTACACAAAGTACGTATAAAATTATACAGGGTGTAAGGGACAGCCCTCCACAAATTAACAGGGTGCATTCAGCTCCTTATTCTGAATCAAATTCCAGTGAAAATTCTTTCAGGAAAATTTTCAATTTTTTTTTCGTTTTTTCAGTTCCTACACCTCTATTTCAATGTATAATTACATTCTATGTATGAAGAATAACATTAATGTAAATAACACAGCTAAAACAAAAAAATACGCAATGGTTGTGTGAATTCTCTAAAGAACTACGCATGAAATCAGCTGTTCAATTTCTACCTAGCGCGAGTCGTTTGAACTCACCGCACCGCGGTCACGGCGCAGCGGCTCGGCGCCCCACCGCGCCGATCGCCGCGCCGCGCGCCGTAGGTATAATACCTACGATCCCGTCCAACGTACAGAATAGCTGCGTCCCTTTCTATCGCCCCGCCTCCGCGTCTCCCCGTCTCCCGGATTCTTTGCACAATGTTTGCCCGATTGAACCAGTGTTGCCAATTTTTAACTTTTGTTACCTCAGGTAGTAAACGAAAATGTTAGAACTAGCGAAATTTATCTAAAACTTGTGAACTCCTTTGCATTCATAATTACGTTGATGAGATTTTCATTAATCAATTAATGAAAATCTTGTCGCGCACATAAATTTAATAAGAAATAAATAAAGATTAGTCTAGTTTTAATTTTAAAGCATTTACAAATACTACCTAATTTATTAATTGATTGTTCTTTTTAAGCGATTACTGGCTAGTTTTTAAACTACTTACAGATTTACATGGCTTCACAATAGCCATGAATTGATAGTCGAGCCAGAAATTAAACACAATCTCCCTGGAATGGAAGCACAGCTTTCTATCACACTGCACTTTTATTATTCTAAATTAACTAAACAATGAAATTAGAATTAAATTGATTTAATCAATTCATTTCTCTACAAAAAATAACAGAATGATAAATTACGACCATGCATAATTTTTTATTTTTTACCCCGAAATTTTGTAATTTTCGTGTAATTGGCAACAACAGATTTATGTTTGTGTGTGTCTCATCACATGCAGTCGCCATTGTGCCTTGCTGCGATGTTATTGTTTGTGTACCGCGAGCGTGTGTCGGCACGGATCGCTCGCGCATTCGGCTTAAAAGTTTTGTTATAAGTAGTGTTGTTAAGTTTTATTAGTTATGTAGTGTGTGAAGTGTAGTGAAGTTTTGTTGTAGAAATTGTGCGAAATTACTACCTAGGTACGTTTAGCGCGCGTGATTATGGGGAGATGATAATGTGTTGTAGTAGTGTAGGTATCCTGACCGTCGGCATCCATCAGACTCCAGGATAATTACTGGTGACTATCAACGCTTGCTAGAAAACCAGCCCATTGTTCCCAGACAAAAAGGCGCCGGAAGACCAATACCTACGTGGATTTTGGAATTGGTTCGCTAACGTAAGGAGACGCTACCACTTACCAGTGCTTTCCTATTTAAACGTAGTTTAGGTAGGTTTGGACCGCAACCGTGGCCAGCACGATCCCCAGACCTAACCTATTTGGACCCCTTTTTGTGGAGTTACGTAAAAGAAAAAGTGTTTGTGAGTGCGTGTGCAAGTGAGTACGAAATGCGAGACCGCATCACAAATGCTTTCCAGAGCCGGAAACCGGAGCGATTCTAAGGTACCTACGCATTTTTCTTTTTTTATCATTTATCAGTTACCATGTTATGATTGTTAGATTTTTTTTTTGTAAGTTATGCAGCTATCTTTTAAATAATAATTTATTGTTATTAAAACGTGGCGCGAGCGCGATTATTACATTGTCTTTTATAAGTAATGCGGCTATCTTTTAAATAATAATTTATTGTTATTAAAACGTGGCGCGAGCGCGACCGTTTGTCTGAACGTAAGGTCGCGGCGCTGCCCATAGTGTAAAGTAATAATACTAAAAGCGCTGCCGTTCGCTGCGTGCGTTTGCGGTGGTAGCGATACATTGCGTGTAAGGTAATGAAACAAATCGGTTTAATTGGATTCCCATAACGTTCCTGAAATAATTTCATGTACCGGTCAACTTAAGACGATATACTGAATCCACCCTATCAGTTTGCGGAAGGCTGTCCCTTACACCCTGTATAGTTAGTTAAGGTCGCTCATCCAGCACTCTCGATTACGACCGCTCAATTTATTAAATGAATATGTACTGGATTCCCAAACCGAGTGTCCCAGCCTTAGTCGAGGCCATGGTGCGGAGCGAGAGGAACCGGGAAGCCGTCTCCTCTTCTGTGAAGCAGTTATGCTCGCAAAGAAGGAGGCGGAGCGCGTAAGGAAGCTATCCTCCTCCTCACGCCCCAGCCGCCGCAGTAGGCGACACTCTGGGTGTTGGGGGTCGAGACACGATCTCCGGCCACCGTAATCGCGGGTCTGCGGACGGCTAGTAAGAGTAGCTCGCCGCTCGACCAGAACCAGACCCGAGCGTACGGCGCATAGCGTTCCGAGCGCGCCTCATAGAGCCAATAGACCACCACAAACGGGGCCCTATAGAGCAGATGTTCAGCCGGGGTTGCGGGGTAAGCGCAATGAGGCAACGCGGCCTCGACCTATAGTTGGAGAAGGGACGGGGGGGAGAGATAGTAGCAAACGAGCATTACAAAAAGTCTCACCCGATGTTAAGCAATAAGAGACAATATGTAGTTTTTCAAACTAAAATCCTGAAAAAGTGTTTTATTGGCCTTGGGATACTAGTAAAAACTGTAATAGGTACATATTTATTAAAAACGAGATAATAATTTACTCATAAGTGTTATAAATATGACAATAATATAGTCGTATGTATCATACAAATAGTGAACACTGTTTTGCTAAACGTACTTTTCATTTTTTATATTTCCAGTTTTCTGCAGCCACGCCCGATCAGTTTATTTATGGATTGAAAACATAGAGAAGTGTACGGTTATAGGCAAACAAGCTAGTAGTGTCGCTACCTGGCCATTTAAATCCGACATCTACGCCTGTTTTTCGAACATTACGTAAGTTTTGGAATTACTCAATTTTTCATTATATCATTAGGTATACAGTAACGAACTGGACTAGGTCAGTGAGTGGGCTGGAGTCGAACGAAAAGGTTGTAGTGATAGACATTAAATTTTACCCGAACTTCCAAAAAAGGAGTAGTTTTTTCAATTCGGTCATATATAATAC